CCTAAGGAACGAGAAATATGGAACGGGGCCCCTTTTTCCCACAAGTTAAGCTTCGATTTCCCATCGAAACCCTAAGCAAAACCAAAGGCGAACTGCAACAAAAACTAAGGAACACCGAGCCCCTCCCCAACGAAAAGGGTTCCTTCTCCAGCGCCCCGGCTGTATTCTTTACCCTCTGTCGGGGTGGACGGGGAACCCCCTTCAGCAGGACGCCCTTTAGTGAAGGCTGCCAAGGGCACTCCACGTGCGCACGGCACCGAATGCACCCCAGCGGGGTAGCTAATCAACGTCCCAGGACAACCGAATGCGTCCGGCGAAAGGCATGTCGACCAGCGAAACCCGCTGGGGACTGCACCAAGACACTCGAAGGCCGTCTGGTGAACCCGTGCAGACTTCTCGAGTCGACGTGTCTGGATGGGCGAGGTCCTTCGATACGCGATCCTGGGGTCCTCACCGCGGCCGGATCCGCCTCGAAGAGGCGTCCGGACGGACCGCCGGGAAGGATCTGGGGACCGATCTCGACCGGATTCGGGTGAAGTCGGGCCTGTCCTCCTTCAGGGGGATTCGGACGACAAATTCAAAATACCCCCAAAATATACAAACATATTCAAAAATTCTTTAAAAAAAAAGGCATTGGTGTTTTTTACTATGTTTGAACCTTCCTCTGGTAGAGGGACACGCCCGACTCAAGGTTCGGGCCAGGCGGGAGAGCGGTCGCCGCCTCACTGGCCACGGAGGCTAACACTGCATCGCCGGATGCATCGCCGAGGCACCAGCGACGTCGGGGCGAGGGAACACCGACTGGATTGAGGTCGGGCCTGTCCCCCTACAGACCGATGTTCGAGGAAAAAATAGAACTAGTAAAAATAACAAATATATTCAAACATCGCCGATGCACTAGCGACGTCGGGGCGAGGAAACACCGACTGGATTCAGGTCGGGCCTGTCCCCCTACAGGCCGATGATCGAAGAAAAACTAGAACTAGTAAAAAGATACTCGAACAGGATGCATTCAAAATGCCAAAAGATAGTTCCCAGACTATTGCTTGACCATGTTTGAAGCGCGCCGACAGAACCGCCGCGCTCGGGACAGTGGAACAGATGATTCACGATGGGCCCGGTGGCAAGCACTCAGTTGGGGGCGATGTTCTGTTTCGGTCGCAATCATGGCACGTCCAAGTTCGACACGCAGCCCGCGGGGTTGGTCGCCTGGTGGGCTCCGACGGCCTCAGCTTGCTGCCAAAGGCGACGCAGAGCTGCCATGCACCAGTGTCGCTGCGTTCGACTCTGCGCCCCCCCGATGTGTTGACTGTACATAGTACTTGGTGCCGATTACATGTGGCGGGGTGAATCTCGTTAAAACAAGCGACCGGCTACACGGTGCAACGACTGGAAGCGTGCGCAGGACGTCGACGAAGGTGGATACTGGCGGCTGCCTATAGACGAAGCCATTGGATACATGTGTCTGGGGTTCTGCTATGGGTGCAACTTCGGTAAGATGTCGATGCCATGCTCGTTGCAATCAGCACCACGCTTGCTACGCCAACGTCATGGGTCGCGGAGAGGGTGACCCACTGTATATGTGGCTCACATTCGCCGGCCGACACTTCCAAGTCTCGCAAACTGTGTTGTTGTCTTCTGTCGGACTGCGCATATCTGCCTGCGCGAGCGCGTGCGCTTCTGTGTCTCTGGCATCACCATGGCATGAAAGTGCAAGGCACTGGGTGATTCAGCTTCTGGTAGTACTCCTGGTCTGTGCCCGTGAATTTGGTTTCCAGCCTCTTCCCTTCCCATCTGACTCTTTCTCTCTTTCACTTAATGGGTACTTTCAATCCGAATGTACTTGTACGAAGCATACTATGTTATATGTTCGTATGTCATGACCGTGGGATCGCACAATTGCAACATCTAAACCCATACCTCATGAAAATGTGTTTATCCTCCACGCTCCATTACACACCTTCCGCGACTCAAGCTGAACGCACCGACCTTCTGAGCAAGGGGCTGGGCAGTGGGATCGCGCGCGTGAACAAACAGCGAACAAACGCTTGTCATTTTGGAGACGAGCAGAGCTGCCCTCACTCGTGTGAAAGGTCGCTTGGCTTTCCCACCCACGCCCAATCCCTCCACAACAAATCGCGTCATTTTCTCTCCTCCCGCACCTTCCGCCCATCCCTCACTCCCTGCAATCCCCCCTCCTCCCCAATGCACTCTTGTGCGCCCCCTGTCATCCAACCCCCTCTTCCTGCGGACGGCCCCATCACCCCTCCTCCCGTTCCCCCGGCCCCTGTTTGTCGGCGCCTGTGGGCGGGTGGCTGCATCGCGCCCTTCTTTTGCCTCAACGCAGTTCCCCCTGTGGCTTTTTGGCTTCGCCTGTTTGACGGCGCCACGCCTCTTGCTGCGATGCAGCTGGGAGGCCAATCACTTCGTGGAGGAGGAGCCCCTGATGGGGGCCGATAGCCGAAGAGGCTTAAACCAAAAACCCTCACACTTCCTCCTTCCAGCTGATGTCTGTCGTGCCGACCTGGGACGATGGGGGGCTTATGTGAATAGAAGAAGAAGAAAAAGAAACACACAAACATAAACTTTTGGCGCTCCGAGCGGATTTCTTGGATTCGCGCTGGACCCCCATCCCTGACGCGCGGAGCGCGCCAGGGGCGGCGCCAGAGGCGCCGCCGGGGGGGCCCAGGCGCGAGTCCAAGAAATCCGCGCGGAGCGCCAAAAGTTTATGTTTATGTTGTTTGTTTGTGTTCTTCTTCCGTGGGCTGCGACGTAAACTGTTCCAGGGGAGACGGGGTTGGAGGGACGGCGGTGCCTGGCGGCATTCATCGTTCGGCTGAACGGGCTGAAGCGGGGTGTGGAGGGAGCTTGCAGGCGATGTACAAGCCTTCCGAAATACAGCTGAGTTACTTACTGGACATGCCGTGTCCCACGCATGCTGCTGTGCCCTTGCAGAGCGCGCCGAGGGGCTGCGCTGGAGGCCGTCGCTCTGGGTGGCGGGCTTCGCGGAGGTCTGGCGCCGACCCTGGGAGGTCCGCGCGGACCTCCGAGGGCCCGCCACGAAGAAACATGTTCAAAGACCTCCCAGATGAGGCCCAGAGGAGGGAGGAGGAGGGGGGGGGGGGGGGGGGAGGGGAGGAGGGGGGAGGAGGAGGGGAGGGAGGGGGAGGAGGAGGAGGAGGAGGGGAGGGGGAGGAGGAGGAGGGGGAGGAGGAGGAGGGAGGAGGATCGCGCCGCATCGCCAATGCGTCGGCGATGCATCGGCGATGCTCGGTCGACGTCGGCGACGCATCGGCGACGCCGTCGTGACCCGCATCGCTGACGCCTCGGCGATGCGGCACGGTCCACCGACCCCATCTGCTCTTGGGTCGGGCCTGTCCCCCCTACACGGGGATGTTGGACGAAAAATCAAAAACAGTCAGAACATATGTTCAACCAAATACCCACAAATATTGACAAATGGACCCCAGGCTATGTTTTGACTAATTTTGACTATAGAGGATCGAACTCTATACAACGACGCTATCTGCGCCGAAATTCGCGCAGGAACTCGGATTCTGGTATACGGGATCCTGGTGTTTACATATTTCGTCGCTTCCCCGGGACATCGGGGAAGAAGTATACACCACACCACCCCAGCGTCGTCCTCGACCCTCAGAAAAATCCGGGGATTGAACAACAGCCAGCCACTGGTAACGTATTTGTTCAAGCTTCCGAGAATATCCCCCCTGTAGGGGGACACGCCCGACTTCAATCTGCCCGGACCCCCTCTGGGAGGCCACGGGTCGGCGGCGAGCCCGAGGGGGAAGGTGGGAATGGGGCGGGCCCTCTCGAGAACATGTCTACGCCTCCACTTCCCCGGGGACAGGAGGAGGAGGAGGAGGGGGAGGAGGGGGAGGAGGAGGAGGAGGAGGGGAGGAGGAGGGGGAGGAGGGAGGAGGAGGAGGGGGAGGAGAGGGGGAGAAGGGAGAGCCTCTCAGAAGGCGCGAGGAGGAGGAGGAGGAGGAGGAAGAGGAGGGGGAGGAGGAGGAGGAGGGAGGAGGAGGAGGAGGAGGAGGAGGAGGAGGGAGGAGGAGGCTGGGGAGGAGGGGGAGGGAGGAGGAGGAGGAGGAGGGGAGGAGGAGGGGGAGGGACAGCCTCTCAGAAGGCGCGAGGGCTTCTGAGGAGTCCCGCCGCCTTCTGAGCAGGCCTCCTCCTCATCACGTCTCCCCCTCGCTCGCCGCCGAACGGGGGCTCTCCTCTGGGCGAACCCCTCGTCCCAAATGGACTCCTGACGGGCCCAGGGCCCGTGGAGGGCCCCGGGGCCCCGAGGGAGGCGACAGATGCCTGGGCCACCCTCGTTCCTCCAAGGCAGGGGGGGAATAAAGAGGTGCCCGCACCGGCGCTCCCTGGACCTCTCCCAGGGAGCGCTCGGACCTGCACCTCGAGAGGCGTGCAGCAGTGGCGACGAGGACTCTCCAGGACGAGCATCGGCATCAATACCTCTCCTCCTCCTCCTCCTCCTCCTCGTCTTCGTCCTCCGCTTCGTCCTCCTCTTCTCCTCTTCCTCCTCCTCTTCCTCCTCTTGCCCCCTCCTCTTCCAGAGTAAAAAGCGCTCTTGCCACGTCTCCCACGCCTCTCGCGGCGGCAACGGAGAATCGTGTGGCATCTTCGGGAGACCTCGTCTGTCCCGCCGCGCCGCGATCGGCGTCGAATCCGTGTCGAATCCGCGTCGAGCGCGTCGAATCCACGTCGGAGTACAAGGAACGGCACAGATGGGTGCGGTGCCAATCGTGGAAGCGGCGATGCTATCTGCGACAGGTACCCTCGCCAGATCCAGCATTGGCACCACAGCCCTTTACACCGCACCCCCTTCCTACCCCCAGAGCCAGTGCAACCCCGGCTCTGCAAGATCCGGCGCTCTGACTGACTCACTCCCGTTCCTTTTTGGACGCCCGAGATGGGTACGGAAAAAATAGGTACAATGCCCAACAGCAAATGTTGTCCACAACCAACAGCGGCCGCTGTTGGGCAGGCGGCCTTCTGTCTCAAATGGACACAGGCCGCGGCGGCGCGGACAGCGAGTCCTGTTCAAATGAACAAGAACTGCTGTTGGGCATTGTAACCATTCTTTCCGTGCCCATTTCGTTCGTGCAGATCCTTGAGCCCCGAGAGACGGGGGCGAGCAGGCGGCGGCCGGTCACACGCCGAAGGCCAAGGCTGCAGGTGCGAGCACCAGACCGCGCGGCCCCGCGCGGGGCGAGACGAGGGCGGGGGGGGGTCCTGCTGCTCCTCACCCTCCTCGTCCTCGTCCTCGTCTTGCTCGTGCACCTCTTTCCATTCCTCCTCATCCTCCGCCGCCCCCTCCTCCTACGCGGCGTCGCAGTCCCACGAACTGCGTTCTGGCACGATTGAAGAGGCACGGCATGTTTGCCTTTCAGTGGGGCACCTCCCGCAATGACAAGATAGGATCATCAAATGTATTACCATGAGCACCTGTGAAGAGGGAATTTGGGAGGGTTCATTGCAACATCGTTGATGCGTCTTGGTGCTTGTCCTCCTCCTCTGCCTCCTCCTCCAGCGCTCCCTTCCTCCTCCTCCTCCTCCTCCTCCTCCTCCTCCTCCTCCTCCTCCTCCTCCTCCTCGTCGCCCCCCTGGGGGGGGCACCGAGGCACCAGGAGCCAGATCAGACAAGCCGCACAGGCAGCATCCTCCGGAGGTCCGCACGGGCTTCTTGGGCGACTGGACCTCCCCTGACCTCCTTCTATCCCGCCCCTCGGAAGCTGCCCCCTGCCCTCCCTTGGCGCTCCGGAAGCCACCTCCCCCCTGTCCAAACGGGGGTTGGGTTTAGCTATCTCCCCCCTCCGTTCCAGAGATGATCCCCGTGTTCCTTCCCTCGGCTGGACCTCCCCCTCCCTGGCGCGCGAGCGTGCCAGGGGCACGCTCCAGCTCTCTCTCTCTCTCTCTCTCTCTCTCTCTCTCTCTCTCCCCCTCGCGGCTTCTGACAGCTTATGCTTCTTATCCACAGCGCCTCCGCGCGCATGTTCGACACAGTATGCTTATCAGGTTTCTTCCTCGCCGTCGCTCGGACGCCACTTCCCCGTGCATAATTCGGTGTCGAGCATGCGTTGTTTTTTCCGCAAGATGATCCAAGATGCTCCTCGATGGTCCTCGCCAAGAACAAATGCAGACGTCCGAACGATGCCAAGCGTCTTCTCCGACTCGCAATGTTCTTACCATGTTTCCTCCTCTGGTGCTGCCGACGCCCCTCGGCAGTTTCGGCCTCAAATGCGAATCAGCACCCTGGAAGAAAATGTGCAAACTCTGCCACTCTCCAACTACTTCTGAGCATCGTTCAACAGACCCCTGCACACACTGGCGTGGACTGGGCCACACTGGCCGATTTAGCCCCCTAGATGGGGATATGGGCTGTTCCCTTCGGGTTTCGAGGGGCCTATCCCCCGGGGCTGAGGCACCACGGCCTGGTGGGGATGAGGGGATAGGTTAAGCGATACTGACCTTCTTCTCCACCCTCCCAGGGGGGGGGAGGGCGATGGGATCGGAAGCGAACGCACGAACGCCTTCTGCTCCTCCCGCAATAGCCAATAGGGCAAAGTCGGCACGCGGGCTGCCATCGCCAAGCGGCGGCCGTTCGGACCTACTGTTTCGCCCCCGCGCCGCCGGCAAGCAGGACACATGGCTCCCGCACAGGAATGGCCAGGCTCATCACGCCCTCTAGTCCTTTTTCTTCTTTTTCTTCTTGCCCGAGGACGAGGACGAGCTCGTGGAACGCTTGCGCCTTCGCTTCCTGCGGGCGGGGCGGAATCGGGATGCACCAGCCCGCAGTGACGACACGGATGCGGCACATCTCCCTTCACCAAAGAGGAGGAGGGCCACTGCACCAGCGCCCGCTGACCTCGACCGCTTTCTGCTCATCCTGCACCTCCTGCCCCTCCTACTCTTCCACCATGTCGCCCCCAAATCTTATTGCGGAACGCGTCCCGGCCAGGATTCGGAGCGGATGCAGCAGTGGCGACAGGAAGGCCGTCCAGAAAGCCATCCAAAGAACGAGCAAAACGTCGTCACGTCTCCTCCTCACTCCGTCTCCTCCACCATATCCTACTCCTGCTTCTCATGTCCCATCCCCTCTTTCTTTATCGGCGACTGTGCTAGACTAGAGCATGTGAACAAACTACGTTGGGGAGACCCCTGGACAACTATTTCGATGTAACTGGCTTTTCGATGCCTGACTCGGCGCTGCAAGATTCGAGAGCTGACCGTCGAATCTGCAGGCGAACAACCTAGATAGGTCTGGGTCTGGTATCCGTCTGCTCAGAGCTCCTGCCTCGGCGTCGGCTCAGCCGCTGACAACAGGATAATGTCGATATGCATCCCCACAAGTATATACATATGCAATCTTGAACGGACACCCCTCCCAGGGCGTGGGTCCCAAGAGACTCGGAACGGCGTCAGCCTAACGGAAAAAGACAGCGGGCGTGACGAGGACTTTCATTTCTTTTTACAGGCGCCGGAGCTCAGGCCCACGCCTGAGTGCACTTGCGATGGCGGCTGACGGCAGAGCTGAAACACTGAGAGCCCCTGGCCCACAAGGCCGAGGGGGCTCGAGAAATCTGACAGTCTGGCCAGACCATTAATCAAACCCGAATTCGCAGAAGTCCAAGCTACTGTGCCTCTCCTCCAGCGTTTCCCAGGGTGGGAAGGGCGGGACGGCAGAAAGGCTTGAGGGGAAGAGGCAGCGGGAGGGGAGAAAGCGAATGCACAAGCGATGAGACCAAATGCAATGCAATCTTGAACGGACACCCCTCCCAGGGCGTGGGTCCCAAGAGACTCGGAACGGCGTCAGCCTAACGGAAAAAGACAGCGGGCGTGACGAGGACTTTCATTTCTTTTTACAGGCGCCGGAGCTCAGGCCCACGCCTGAGTGCACTTGCGATGGCGGCTGACGGCAGAGCTGAAACACTGAGAGCCCCTGGCCCACAAGGCCGAGGGGGCTCGAGAAATCTGACAGTCTGGCCAGACCATTAATCAAACCCATATCAAACGCTGGAGTAAATCCCATATCGACTCCATTGGCATGCCGAGGGAAAACTGCAGCAGGCTGAGCGTCGAGGGGCACGCTACGAGAGGAAGGACAACTGCAAGGCCTCCGCACGCTTAGCCTCTGCCTTCACAGCGGCCGAGAGGCGTCTGAAAGATGCAAGTGCACGGCCGCTCTTCTGATAGCGCTGTACAGAACGGAAGCTCGACCACCTGCCACGAGACTGAATGTCGGCCAGCGAGCGGGCGCCTCTCAAGTAGTCTTCCGACGGACCGCCGTGCCGAGGGAGGTGGGCTGTCACCTTGGTCGGGAGGCCGACGGCGACGGCGGCCCTCTTGAGCAAGCGGTTGTACGAAGCGTACGAGTGGAGAAACATGAGGCGCCCTTGGCGGGCCTGGTTGGCGCTCTTGACGAGGGCCATGAGCGCGCCAGCCACGCCCGCACGAGACTGGCCATCGATGAGCACGGTGTCGTCCTGGAGGCCAGTCTTGGTGACGCGCGTGTGCACGTCGTCGCCCATGACCAGCGCGGAGGCGCCGACGACGAGCCCCATCTTGTTGTACCCTGAGCCGGCACTCGGCTGCGGCAGGATGCAGCAGGGCACGCGGAGGTCCAGCAGCTCGCCAGGGCGCAGGTACGTGTCGAACTGCACCACCAGGCCGCGGGCGGCCTGCAGGGCAATCTCCGTGTTGAGGCCGGCCAGGTACAGAGCCATCAAGCACGCGGCAGCCCAGCAGAGCGGCTCCGAGGTGACGTCCGGCTCGAGTTTGCCCCAGCCAGCGAGGGCGCCCTTCGCCTTCGGGAAGACGCCTGGGGCACGAAGCGACACGCTGAAACGGTAGGCCAAGGCGGCCAAGGTGTAGCGGGCCGTGCTCTTGCTGCCGCCGTCGACGTAGAGCTGCTCGAAGTACTCCTCAAGGAGTGTGTCCACCAGGGGGAGGTCATTGCTCACCCAGCGGTCGGCGACGACACCCATGGCCGCGGCAAACACGGCGACGCTGGCGAGGTAGCGGGCCTGAGTGGCCGGCCGCACCTGCGAACGCCGCAGGAAGCCCGGCGAGGAGTCAGCGGGCACCTGGCGGGCCCGGGCAGCCGACGCCCGGCCTCTGCCGAGGCTTCGGCCTTGCCCGCGGCCGCGGGAGGCCGACGAAGCGGCCCCACCCCTCGGCGTCTGGCGGCCAGAGCGCGACCCACTTCCGCGGGCAGCTGGGGCACTCGAGGGACGGCTGGACGTCGACCATCTTGGCTGCACGGCGGAGCTGAGCCTCCCAGTGACCGGGCAGCAGTGGATCCCCATCTGGTCGCCAGGCTGCAGGCGGTGCCGCGCGCGCCAAGGCCCGGGCGGCGCTGTGGCAGACTCCAGGAGGGTAGGCTCCAGCCAGCGTCGTGCGCCAGAACTGCTTGAGCCGACCCTGGCGATCACGGACCTTGACCTTCCCCTGAAGATGCTCGTGGGCATGACCTCCAAGACAACGCCTTTCAAGGATACCGAGCTCGGGGAGGTCAGACTCAATCCTGGTGGGCTTCTGGTACGGGGCTCCAAACTGGCAGCAGTCATGCACCACGGAGACCTTGCTATGCTCGGACAGGAACTTCTGAAGAGGCTCCCAAGAGAAGAGCCGGGATCCCCGGGGGTTCTCGAGGGACCACCTGACGCCGAACTGAACGCACAATCGAAGTAGACGAAGAGTGACATGAGCACACCGCCGACCGGCGCGTATAGCAGACGTATCGTTGGCCCCACGGCGAGCAACTGACCACGGAGTGCACGGAGTCCCGAAGTGCACGAACCAGACCTTGCGAGAGACGATCCACTGGCGAACGACGGTCTCGATGCTGGGCCGAAGCAGGTCGCCCCAACCCCCGAACTTGATGTCGATCGGAGCCGCGACCGCCAGACCGAGCTGCGCGAGAGCCCCCGTCCAGCGAGCCCCCCCCCGAGAAGATCTCGAGAGCCGCCCGACGTCCACGAAGCCGAGGTACAGGAACACGAGCCGGCTCGACCGCGACGAACGGCGTGGGCGGAGGGGGCGGCAGCCCGGGAGGCACTGTCGTCCATTTTCGGCCAGGCCGGGCATGCAAACGAAGGCTCCCGAGGGCAGGCGGCCCGCGCGGCGCGCTCCCGGCGCGCGCACGCGGCCCGGAGCGGCCAAGACGTGGCGGGGCCCGCTCGGAAGAGAGCAGCCGAGGCCCCGGCACGAGTCTCCGTCCAACTCGTCCGAGGGCCCCAGCAGGCCGCGGCGCAGGCACTGGCCGCGGCCGAGGGCGCCGCCCGCGTGGGCAGGCCGCCGGCGGCGACAGGTCGCGGGCCCCCTCGGCCTCGTCGAACGTCGCCTTGCGTGCAGGGAGGCCAGGGGCGCCGGCTGCGGGCCCCTCTCGTGGCCGCGGGGAGCGCCGCGGCCCGCAGCGGCCAGCAGCTCCAGGAGCCCGCGGCGGCGGCCGCGGCGGGCAGGTCTGAAGTCGGCCGCCGCGTAGCCGCGCCGCGGGGGGAGGCTCGCAAGCCTCCTCGGCGACTGGCCAGCTGGCGGTCGCCGAAGGCGCCGGCGGGGCCGGCGTCGTGGGCGGCGGCGGCGGGCAGCCCGCGGGCAGAGTGGGCCTGTCCGACCTGCCGCCAACCCGCCGCTGCCCCGGGCGGTGCACGCCCTGCAGCGCCTTCCGCGACCCCGCGTCACTGAGGTTGCGGTCCGTGTCGAGGTGTCGGCGCCGCCAGGAGATCCCACAGGCGATCTGGTAGGCGGCGGCCCTCCGGCACAGGCAGGCGAGGCCGAGGTCCACGGCCCGCCCCTTCTCGATGGAGAGGAGCTCCGACATGTTGTCGCCCAGGCTGAGCACGCGGGACCCGTGGCAGTCGACCTGCCGGGCGGCGTGCCGCAGGCCCCCCAGGGCGATGCGGCCCTCCAGCAGGTGAATGGGGGCCCCGCGGCGCCAGGCGCCCTCCACGATGAGAGACCAGTCCTTGGGATCGACGAGGCTGTCGGGCACGGAGACGCCAGCAGGTCGCGCAGTGGGCCTGAGACGACCCTTGAGTACGCCTCGGGCGCCCTCCCTTGAGCGCGTCGGCGGGGGGGCCCAGACGGCCATGCCTGTAGCGCCCGGCGGCTCCCCCAGCACTCCTCCAGCGCCCGGCACCCAGCCCGGGGAGAAGGTGTCGTCGAGCGCCGCGTCGGGCCGCTTCTCGTCGGGGACGAACCTCCACCTCTCCCGGGTAGCAGCCAGCTGCCGAAGGAGTCGCACGTCAGCGCGTCGGCGGTGGAGAGCGTAGCCCGCCTCGGACGAGTCGGAGCACAAAACCAGGGAGGACATCGGCCGGTCCAAGAAGACGGCGGCCTGGAAGATGAGGCCCCTGAAGAGCTGGATCTCCCGGCGGGCCCCAGCAGACAGAGCGACTGGGGGGCCCTGGCCCTGCGCATCCACGAAGCGGTAGAGCAGGCGGAAGATCGAGAGGGCCGGCCGCAGCAGCAGGCAGTGCTGCACACAGTGCCCGAGGAACACTCGGATCTGCCAGGCCGCGCGAGGGGCCCCTGGGCACTCGAGCTCCTGACAGGCCAAGTAGAGGCGCCAGGCTCGGTGATCAGAATGACGCAGACGCCTCCGCCTCCCGTCGTACTCGACGCCGACGGTGCTGAAGTGTGTGGCCGGGCCCTCGACCTCGTGGTACGCGATGCCGAGCGAGTCGAGCTTGTCCTTCGCGGCCTGCAGCGCCTGCCCGACGTCGTCGCTCGAAAGGCCCAGGAACGAGACGTTGTCCACGTAGACCGACCCCGTGGGGCGGAAGGGCGCCGCGACGGGAGCCGGCTGCTTGTCGAGCAGCAGGCGCCGGGCACCCCCCGGCAGCGTGTCAGAGACCCAGGACGTGACGGACGAGTGCACGGCCCAGAGTGCCCATGACCACCCCATCGGCACCCCGCGGAAGACCGGGAAGACGAGCTCGTCGGGGTCGACAGGGGACAGGCCGTCGGGCGTCCAGATGTGGGAGACCTGGTAGTAGGAGGCCCGCTCAGGGAAGTCCATCCCGAAATCCTCCGCGACGCGCTCCGAGAAGAACTGGTAGAACGAGTCCTGGAGGTCGAGGGACGACCCGAAGATCTGAGCGGGAGAGCCATCAGCGCTGACCCATCCAGCGTCCGAGAGCGCAGCATCGGACCAGTCCTGCTCGCTGAGGGCGGCGGGGGTCCCGAGGGCGGCATGCGGCGGCGCCCAGTGGGTGCGGTTGGTGTCGCGAGCGTCGACGACCAGGCGGATCCAGCCGCCCTTCTTCTCGACGAAGAAACACCCCACACGTGATCTGATACGCCTCCGGAAGCCGACCAGCCCCCGCCCCGCGAGCCTGAGAAGGAAGTCCCGCCGAAGGCTGGCGTCGCTGGCAAGCCGCGCGTCCCAGTACGGCTTGATCGGCGGCAGGAGCTCGAGGTCCTGCTCCACCACGCGGTCCGGCTTGCGGATGTAGGCGTCGGGGTCGCGGAAGGCGTCGACGACGATCTTGGGGCAGACCTCCTCCACGTCTCGAGGCGTGACCGAGGACTGCCAGAACTTGAGCTTGGACTCCTCGTACGGGACGACCTTGGACGGCGCGCCTCCGTAGAACGAGTCGGACTTGAGGAGCTCCTGAAGGGCTCCGCGAGGGTGGAGATCTGCCGGGCGAGGGCCATACTCCGCCACGCAGCGGCCGAGCTGCCGGCCACACGAGGACGAGGTAGCCGTACCCGCAGTCCCTGAATCGGCAGCGCCACCTGGCCCGCGGCCACGATGGCGCACCGTGCAGGCGGCGAGACAGTTGATCGAATGCACTGCCTCACGAACACGGTGTTCACGTGAGCGACGCTGGAGCACCCGCTGGCGCAGGTACCGCGGCGCCCCGCTGAGGTCGACCGGCGGCGCAGGCCCCGGGACCGAAAGCGGCAGCGGGTCCCCGTGCGAGGAGCGTGATCCCGATGCCATGGGGAGGACGAGGAGGCGGCCGCGGCGGAGGAACCCGCGGCGGCAGCCAGGCAGGGCGGGGCGCCGCAGGACACCCAGCCCAAGAAGGGGGCCGCTCGGCCCCCTGCTACTTGCCACCGTCGGCCCCGCCACCCTTCGGCCCCTTCGGGGGCGCCTTGGGCTGCGCGGCCGTCCTCTCCTCCTGCCGCTGCCGATTCGCCTTCATGGTCTGAGCGCGGGCACGCGCCTGGTCGCCAACCCATCCGTCGAACTCCGGCAGCACCATGCCGCCCGTGTCGTCGACCCCCGTGTCGAGGATGAGGTCGAGCCCCTCGAAGTCGGGGGCCCGAGGGTTCTTGCGAGTCGCCGACTCCAGCTGCTTGAGCCGTCTGACGAGATACTCGGCGCCCGCGATGTTGAACAGGTCGAGCTGATCGAACTGCTGCATCATCCGAAGAGACACGCAGATCATGTGGTGCTCCCGGGCGACGTTCCCGCGCTCGGCCACTCCGCTGCGGCGGAGCCACGTGGTGTGGTGCTCCTCCCAGTTGCCCTGACCACCGTCTCGAAGCGAAAGCACAGCCTCCCTCGTCGCTCGGCGGCCCTGCAGCGGCCAGCCCGGTATCGTCGCCTCCTTCATGCGGCGCACCGAGTCCCTGAAGTCGATGTACCTGCCTCCATCCTGGTCCCTGTCGTCGCCCACGATGCGCGGGTCCCGGCCCGCGCCCCCGCGAGCTCGGGCGAGGTACGTGTCGAAATTCTGGCCCTCGCTCACCTTGATCGCGTGGACCCAGACGTCGTCCAGCCGTACGAGCCCAACATCCCCACGCCGCACCAGGACCTCCTCGTTGGCGAGGACCTGCGGCGGCACCTCCTCGCCGAAGTGCGACGAGGTGGGGTCGCTCACGTACCACTTGTCCCCGGGGAGGCCCACGACGCCGGCGAGGTCGAACCCGAGGATCGTCCCCAGGGCCCTGGCCTCCTCGAGGTACCCCTGCATGTCCTCCGGCGCCACCTCGTCGAAGGCGTAGATGTTGCCCGCATGCCGCGCCGGGAAGGGGCCCGACCGCCGAAGGGCCAGCACGCGGAACGTGGCCAGGTCGACGAAGGCCACCTCCCCATCTGGCGTGAGCCAGATCCACTTCTGGGCATCGCCCTTCACCAGCAGCACACGGTGATGCCACTGGAAGTTCTCGTCGTCCTCGTACCTGACGAGGCACTGGCTGAACGGGGTGTCCAGCGCACGGGCCATGGCGGCCCTCAATCAGCACGAACACCAGGAGCCCGACGGCCACGCCCGAGGCCCGCCGGCGTCGCCACGTGCGTGCCCCCGGCGTCGTCCTCGACGGCGAGGGCGCGCCCTCGCGCCGCCGGCCGTCCAGGCGAGCCCGCCGCCAGCCAGCCCGCGGTCGCGAGCCCAGCGCCAAGGGCCACGCCCACCACGGCCGCGCCGCAGAGGTCGAGCCCCGTGTAGTGCCCAGGCGGGAGCGGGCAAGGAGGGCAGGGCTGGCACGCGACCCCCTGCAGGTGCTCCGGGCCGCAGCGCGCCAGCTGCTCCCGGAGGATGGCCACCAGGCCGTCGGTCGTGTCCGGGCCCTCGAACACGCAGCGGCAGGAGACCTCGGCGATCCCGCTGCGGCCAGGTCCAGTCCAGCGCTCGGAGAGCGCGCCGAGAACCCACCCGCCTGCAGCGTGCACCCAGGCGGCCATGAACAGTTCACGGCAGAAAGGCTTGAGGGGAAGAGGCAGCGGGAGGGGAGAAAGCGAATGCACAAGCGATGAGACCAAATGCAATATAGAGAGAGGGGGAGAACGAGAAAGAGAAAGAGAACTATATATACATATATATATATAGAGAGAGAGAGAGAGACAGACATACAGACCATGCAATAATTCAGGGGGCAGAATGGCGAGCCGCTCCCAATTACCTATCGCACCCCTGGGGCAACTCCAATGCCTCCTTCTCCACTGACGCATCTCCCCCAACTCAACCCACAACATATATCGATCCAGAGTTGGCGGGATCTGGCTCGGAACTTGCCGCACACCTACTTTGTCACGTTTGACTGTCACTACCCAGCTGCGCAACTAGTCTGCCTCTTGGGAAAGATCAACGCTCTACGGGGAGAGGGGTGGGGAACTTATGCCTAAGAAGAATGAGCGGTTGCTGGTACGACGTAGGATACTGATTGCGCAAGGTCGCAAGTGATCCGTCACCGTGCTTTGAGCACGTAGTGGAGTGCTCCAGGGTTCAGTGTCTCGAGGCCTCCCCGCAGCCCATAAAAGGCCGAAACGCCCCCAACCTCCCATCTTCGAACCTCGATCCTCGAACCTCGGAGCCAGGGCAATCCGAAAACCGAACACCGACCGATAGCTCAACCGAACATCGACCGAACCAGCAACAAAATCGGCGCCGACCGAAACCGACATGCCGCAAACAAACTGGCACAGCAACGGCACAGCAGCCGAAGCCAAGCGAAACCAACCAGCTGACGGCAACGCAACAACAACACAACTGCCGACCCAACCGAGCGGGCTGCACCGACCGAGCCGCAGGCACACGTGGACGCCGTTGTCCTGGACTGCGACCTCGACTTTTGCGAGGCGAGGGTTTACCCGTCACCACCGCATGTGAGATCGACATTCGGGAGCCTCGGCAGGGAGATGGATGTCTGTATGTATAACAACATACAGACATCCATCTCCGCCTCTCTCTCTCTATATATATATACACACACACCTCTCTATCTGTATGTACAACATGTCTGCATGTACCTCTCTCGCTATATGTATAACAACCTACAATTTGATGTCCCCCCAGGCCCCGAAGACGTATATCCACGTCGACCGCCTGCCGAGGTCCCCGAAGGTCGATCCTCCAGGCGGTGGTCGTGGCTTCTCCTGGCCTCGCAGCTTCATCTTCTTTCTTCAGGAGGGGAAACAACACACAGACAGAATTAATATGCGATTCCCCAGAACATATAAGAAAATATGGGAAGTGGGGGGGAAGACAGAAACCCTGAAAAGATTGTAAAATGTGGGGATTCCTGTTATTTGTGTGTATTTATGTGTGTGTGTGTGTGTGTGTGTGTGTGTGTGTGTGTGTGTCCCAGGGCCCCTTCATTTCTGTCATGTTCACTCGCTCGTCGCCCCTTCCTCCAGGGCTCTCCGAAGGTCCCCCCCCCAGACCCTCGGTCCACGAGCCTCAATCCCCGAACTTCTGTGAACAAAAAGGGCGGGTCCTTGGGGACACGGGTCCTGGATCCCGACCGAAGCTTCTCCCTGGCACCAATTTTTCGTCACTCGCCGCTTCGTGGCAATCCCCAGGGCCCGTGGAGGGCCCCAAGGAAGACATCAAAAGCGGCGAAGAACCCGAGGACCCCTTCCCATCGGGACGCTCTTCCTTCATTGGAGGCCTCCCAGATGGGGTCCCAGTGGGCGGGGTCGCAGGATCGTGCCGCAACGCCGATGCATCGGCGATATGGCTCGATGCGAAGCCGCATTTTCTCCACGACGACATCGCCGATGCGTCGCCGACATCGCCGATCCATCGCCGATGCATTGGCGATGCGGCGCGATCCTCCGACCCGTCGCGACGCAGTGCAGCTGCCAATGCAGCGCCGACGCATCGGCGACGTCGGCGAATCACCGGTGCTGTTGGTGCTATTGGTGACGCCCGGCGCGGAGAGAAGCGGCCTCCACATCGCGCAGAGCCTCGCCCGGGCCTCGTCGAGGCGGCGCGAGCCTCCCACCCCACCTGCTCGGGCCCTGCGCCGGGAGGCCCGCGCGAGGGCTCCCGTCCTGGACCGCGACCTGGACTTTTTCTTCTTCTCCTCCTGCTTCTTCTGCAGCTCGAGCGCCATGGCGGCCACCTCCGCGGCCTCCTTCAGGACCTGGGAGACCTCCCGGCGCGGCAGCGGGGGGCGGTTCCACGGAGCGGGGGGGGGGTGGGCGCGCGGGCGGTGGGAGGGCGGATCGCCCCCAGGGGCACGGGCCTTCTCCGAGGGGCACGGGCCTTCTCCGTCTGGAGGAGCAGTCCTCGGGGACCGACCGCAACAATGTTTCCAACGAAACGGCGCTCACGACGAAAAACGAAGCGAGGCCCAACGTCTAAAACGAACGTTTGAAACGACATCCGGTGCCAAACGAGGACGAACCAACGAAACGGGGCGTGTAAAGCAACGACGAGCAACGAAACGAAACGACAACGAATAACGAGACGAAAAACAAAGCAAGGGCCCGAACCAAGCTAAACAGCGTTGTGGTCGGTCCTGGTCAAGATTTGTCTGTACATGTATGAGCGCATGTCTTGATCCGCGGCCATGCGGGCGTTATGTGGGGGGGACGGCGGGGGGGGTGCATAACGTAAAGCCCCCCCCTCCCCCAGACCGCTGTGGTGCCGGACGCACTGCGGCAGCGCCAGGAACGCACCGAGGGGTGGAGCATTGCGTTATGGGAGGGGGGGCGGGGGGAAGGGGGCACAACGCGCGTCATGGCCCAGAGGGTAAAAACGATTCTCTAGATGTGCAAAAATGCATCTCCCCATGAACTCCAAGCCGTAGTTGTAGCAGTCTGTTGTGCGATGTATGTGGAGCAATGTACGCAGTGACGTGCCCCGGCGCATCCAAGAGCCTCGAAGTATAGGATCCTCCCTCTCGCGCCCGATAAGTCGAGAGTGGGGGCGACAATGTCAACGCCAGCGCTGTGCTGCGCTCCGGGAGTGGGCACACATGCAGTGGGTGCGGTCAAAACCAGCAAGATGCACAAAAGCAAATGCGGCCTAACATCGGCAGCGGCCGCTGTCGGGCAGCCGCCTTTCTGTCTCAAAATGGCAACGCCTGCGGCGACGCCGACCGACAGCGAGTCCTGCTCAACATGGGCAAGAACTGGTGTGGGCCTCTGCTCCCGTTCTTTCCGTTCCTGGTGAGAGGTCAAATTCTGAGTTTGCCCTGGTCCGAATTCATATTCTAATCGGCTTGATTCAGTCCAGTCCTTCTTCATCAGGCTCGATCCCGCTTAATCCGCGGCCTCATCCGACGTAGGTAGCCCCCTCATGGAGCTCAATTCTCCTTAATCGTTCCGACGAAGACATCCCCAAGTTGCCTCCGACCGTAGCCATCCCGGCCCTCCGGAAAAGAAAAAGGGCGCTCGCTCCTGTCGCGGGCCCGCAAAGAGGGCGCGAGCGGCCTCGTCGGTCTGACCCGCGATCAGCGCCAGTCCCTGCGGCTCGTTCAGGGGAGGCGGCGCTGGCGGCTCCTTCCACGGGGAGGGGGGCGGGGAGTGAGGAAGACGACGAGGCTGGGCAGGAGGGCGCCACCTATACTCGGAGGGGATCGTCGGAGGCAGAGGTGGGGCAGGCCCATGGGTGTGGCTACGAGGAGGCGCTGAGCCACCAGAGCAGGCTCGGCCACCAGGGCACACTGGGCCGCGAGAAGGCACTGAGCTACAAGAGCACGCTGGGCCACGAGAACGCGCTGACCCTCAACAAGGCGCGCTGGGCTACAAGAAAGTGATGGGCCACGAGAACGTGCTAGGCAACGAGAAGGCGCTAGATTGATGGGTAAATCGCGAGTGTGCCTGATAGGACTGCGGGCAAAGCGGGATTTGAATGGCACTGAAGGCCAACTGAGGGACTGGGATGCCTCAGCAAAAAGATGGGAGTTCGAATCTAGCACCGTCGCGATCAAGGTCAAACGCGCCAATGTGGAGTGCGTGCGGCGCACGTCCAACAAGGCACTGGCAACAAGATTAGTTCAAACTGCCATGGGCTTTCAGTACTACCACATGTCGATAAACGACTACGTCTTCAACCGCCTACCAGGCGGCCGACACGACAGCCCGAGTAACGCTCCTGGTCGAGGAGCTGCGCAACAACGAAACGACGCTCGACTCCTACTACCGAAGGGATTTGAGATGGAATCCGCGGTGCGAACCTCTCCTCGCGATGTTTCCGACCTCCGCCCCCCTCCCCAGAGCTGGGTAGCCGTGTGCACAGCAGCCGTCCCTCTCTCTCCAGTTGTGTCGTCACAGTTCTGCCCGACGCGACGCTTCTAGGATTCCAGGCCCGATCGATTCGACGCCGCGCCCAAGGCCACCGTCAGTGCGATAGCACCGCGGCGAGGCCTCCCCCTCCCCTCCTGTCCGAAACCTCGTCAGAGAGCATATGGTCCTCCTCCTCCTCCTCCTCCTCCTTTGGGCGCCCGAGTTATCACTCGGGTCCGGGGTAACGCGGGTTTGGATTCCCGAAAAACGAACCCGAGTTAGCCCTGACCAGAGTTACCCCTGATGATTTGGGGCTCTGGACGCCCGAGTTATCCGGGGTAACTCGGGCCCGGGGTAACTCGGATTGTGAATCCCGAAAGGCGAACCCGAGTTAGCCCTGACCCGAGTTACCCCTGATGATTCGGCGCTCTGACTCCTCCTCTCTTCCTCCGCCTCCTTCCTCCTCCCTCCTCCCTCCTCCTCCTCCTCCTCCTCCTCCTCCTCCTCCTCCTCCTCCTCCTCCTCCTCCTCCTCCTCTCTTCCTCCGCCTCCTCCCTCCTCCTCCTCCTCCTCCTCCTCCTCCTCCTCCTCCTCCTCCTCCTCCTCCTCCTCCTCCTGTTGTCAACCTCGTCAGAAACAACATGGTCCTCGGCCTACCATCCTTTTAAGGCGAAGCCAGGACGAGGATAGCATAGGGTGAGGACAAATCGGGGATTCTGAGATCCAGTGGCTCTGGAGGTTGTATCCGTCGCCACGGCGTTCACAACCACGGCTTTCACAAAGCGTTCTGGAACAATCAATTTCTATCCTCGTCCCAACCCCTTCCGACCCTCCCCCCGCGTCTCCTCTTGGCGCGCCGGAAATGGGTACGTAAAGCATGGGCACTACGTCCAACAGCAAAACCTGCCAAACACCGACGACAACGGCCGCTGTTAGGCAAGTGGCATTCTGCCTCAACCGGACAACGTCCGCGGCAACGCCGACCACGAATCCGGTTGAAAATGGGCAACACCTGCTGCCAGTCTTCGTACCCCTCCTTGCTGTGTCCATTTCGATCGTGCCGATCCTCTCCTCTGAGGGGCGACGATAAGGGTGGACTGGCATAGGGGGTGACATCGCCCTGGCATCGACGATATATCGCCGACAGAGCGGCGATGGGCCCGCGATGGCACGTCCGCACGTTCCTGGGCATGCGGGGGTTACCGGGCCCCCATCGGCGACCAGTGGGCGATGGGGGCTCGATCGTCCCCAGCCCCACCCGACCTCTCCCCCCTCCTCCGAAGGAACGACCCTCGGTCTGGCGTGCGAGGGGCCCCGGAGCGGCGAGCGCAGGCCCGCGGGGCGCGCCGGCTGCGCGGCTTCGGGTGGGATCTCCGTGCGATGGCGACGCGCGGCAGCAGCAGCAGCAGCAGCAGCAGCAGCAGCAGCAGCAGCAGCAGCAGCAGCAGCAGGGGAGAGGCGCGGCGGCTCCCCTGGTGGGCCGCCTGTCAGAGGTCATAAGTTCGCTGCTCGCAGGCCAAGCCGCGTGGGCCGACCGAGCAGGTTGTTCACAACGACATCCGCACAGTGGACGGCACGCCTGACAGGGCGCCCAGCAACAAACACTCTCTCGGAGGTGCTGCTGCTGGGCACGTGGCCAACACCCAGACCACTCCTGCCCTGGAAGTCGACAGCGGAGCCCAGCCAAAATGGACAGAAACTGCTGCGAATCATCCTCCTCACTCCTTCCGTGCCTGTCCGTTTTCGGAACTTCCCTCCCTCCTCCTACCGCCGCTCATCACGGCGACTCCCTTCTATGTTGCTCACCTCCCATTCCCTCCTCCCTCCTTCCTCTCCCACTCCTCGGCGGCGAGCGAGGGGGGAAGTGAGAAGGAGAAGGCCTTCTCAGAAAACGGCGGGACTTCTCAGAAATCCTCGCGCTTTCTGCAAGGTCTTTTCTGTATCTTCCCGGAAGGCTCAGGAAACGTCTCAGAAGGACGGGGCACTTCTGGGCCTTACCAGAAGGCCCGCCCCTTCTCACTTCCACCCCGGCTCGCCGCCGATAGGGGTGACCTTTCGCCAGAATGACCTTTGGTGCGGGCCCAGTGGGGTCCCCCGATCGTTGAACGCGAAGCGGTGGTAGTGGCTTGCGCTCCCAGGCTTGGCCACCCCGCGCCCCCCCGTTAAGTCGCGCACCCAAGGTCACTCTTGCCTAGGGTCACTCCTACGTCTGCCGACCCCCTTCCTCCTTCCCATGCCGTGCCGATCCTGAGGCTCTTCGCCCAGCAGCTTGGCCGCCAGGTTGCGGGCCCCCTGGATGGGGCAACGACCGACGCCGACGCCGACGACGACGACGCCGACGATGTCGGCGAAAACGACGACGACGACGACGACGGACAACGACGACGGCGACGGCGACGACGACGACCACGAAGACGACGACGACCGACCGACGACAAATGACCGACGACGGCGACGACCGACCGACCGACCGACCGACCGACGCCGACTCGCCCGCCTGCAGCGCCTCGCGCGCCTCGAACGCTATGAGGTCGATGCCGTCCCTGCCGCCCGCGCAGCCCGCGCCCACGGCGGAGGCCGCATCCTCGCGGACGTGCGTCGGCCCCCGCGGGTCGGTCGCCCGCCGCCGCCGACCGATTGGACGCCGCGGTCCGGAACGCTCTGCAACGGATTTGACTGAAGGGGCCCCAGGACACACAAACAAATGCACACAAATAACAATGTTCCCCATATTTTCCTATAGTTTCTTGGTTTCTGTCTTCCCCCCCCCCACTTCCCATATTTTCCTATATTTTCTAGGGACTCGAGGATTAATTGTGTCTGTGTGTTTCTTTTCCTCCTGATTAACATCGTCCTAGCCCCGTCCGACCCGCCCCCCTCCTCTCCTCTTGGCGCGCCGGAGATGGGTACGGAGAGAATGGGCACGACGTCCGACAGCAAGTCCTGCCCAACACCGACGGCAACGGCCGCTGTTGGGCAGGCGGCCTTCTGCCTCATCCGGACAGCGTCGGTGGCAACGCCGACCACGAATCCGGTTGAAAATGGGCAACACCTGCTGTCGGTCTTCGTACCCCTCCTTGCTGTGTCCATTTCGATCGTACCTCTCCTCTCCTCTGAGGGGCAACGATAAGGGTGGACTGGCATAGGGTGTGACATCGAACTGGCATCGACGATATATCGCCGACAGATCGGCGATGGGGCGATGGGCCCGCGATAGCAAGTCCGCACGTTCTTGGGCAGATTGGGATTATCGGGCCCTTATCAGCGATCAATGAGCGATTGGGGCCCGATGCATCCCCTGAGCATCTCCCCCGCCCATCATTGCTTCTGACAAGCCGAAACAAAAGGACGAAGATAACAACGGGTGCGACTACATAGAGAATCTCTGAGATCCGGCGGCTCTGGGGTATGCGTTGGGCGCCGCGGCCTTCAGAGCGTCCCAGGACGCTCTCAGAGCGTTCTGGAACGCTCTCAGAACGGATCTACAGTCAAAACGTGTACTAAAGACGGGTGATAAGGACGCAAGACCCTTGGAGGCCGATTTGTTTTTTCTTTAGGGCGGCGGGCGACCAGTGATGATGGCGAGGACGGGCCTCAGAGGCAAGGCAAGGGCACCCTAGATGAAGGCGCGCGTCCTTACTAGGCGCGTTGACTCTATCCTCGCCCGAGCCCCGTCCGACCTGACCTCCTCCCCCCCCCCCCACGGCGGACACGCGGCCAGCGGTCCTGCAGGTGGCCCGCCATGGACTGCAGCGGCGGGCCGAGCGCGGCCGCAACCGCCTCGGCGTCCTGACTGGCGCTGACGGACCTCCGCGCGCGCGGGAGGGGGGGTCTCGGCGGCGACGAGAAGGGCGACCACGCCCAGGGGCGGGCGCGTTGCACGTCTTCGCCCGGGAGCCTCGTCGAGGACAGAGATCAGCGGCGCCCTTGGATACATGTACTCGCCATCGCTCGGACGTCCATTCCTTGTGCGTTGTTCGGTTTCGTGGGTGTTCTTGTCGCCGAAGGAAACATGCACACGTCCGAGCGATGCCAAGTGTGTTGCTCCCCCCTGAGCTCTTCGCCCCGATCGTCGCCCCCGGGGGAGGGGGAGGAGGAGGAGGAGGAGGAGGAGGAGGAGGAGGAGGAGGAGGAGGAGGAGGAGGAGGAGGAGGAGGAGGAGGAGGAGGAGGAGGAGGAGGAGGAGGAGGAGGAGGAGGAGGAGGAGGAGGAGGAGGAGGAGGAGGAGGAGGGCGCGCGCGGGCGGCGCGCCCAGGGCCCTCCGCGCGGGAGGCGGGGGCCGCGGCGCCGACGGGCCGCAGGCGCGGGCGCTCGGCGGCCACGAGGGGAGCGCGGCGGGAGGGCAGCACTCAGGGGGCCCGAGGACACACAAATAGATACACACAACCTCCTCCTCCTCCTCCTCCTCCTCCTCCTCCTCCTCCTCCTCCTCCTCCTCACCTCCCTCCCCCCACTCCTAGCCCTTTCGATCAGGGTCGGCGGCACCGGCCGTCAGGCCTCTCCAAGAAATACGCACAAAGAAAATGATTCCCAATATTTTGATATATTTTCTGTTTTGTCTTCCCGCCCAATTCCAATATTTTCCTGTATTTTCTGGGGGATCGACGATGAATTGTGTCTGCGTGTGTGTTTTCCCTCCTGAGGCACAGCCCACCCCCAGCCCCCCAGCCAGGGCCCCCCGGACCAGCAGGTCGGGAATACAGTCAAAACCCTGATAAGGACGCGCGGCAAGGACGCCGAAGACCCTTGGAGGCCGAAGTTAGGATTTTTGGGGCGGCGGAGGACGAAAACCTCAAGGACGCAAGAGCCAGGGAGAGCAAGGACGCAAGAGTACCCTGAGCAAAGTCGCGCGTTCTTTTTAGGGTGTTTGACTGTAGGGGTCCTGGATGCGTGGGGTTGGGCTGTGCTGTCCTCCGCGGCCACCCAGGCCCACCCCCGGCCAGGGCCCCCTGGATCACCAGGCCCGAGAGCGCCCCAAGAAGGCCCCTTCGGAGGGATTTTTGTCAGCCTCCGAGGGGGGACCTGAATCCGTTACCCCTCTCTGTTTGAGCCTCGGGGGCCAAGATGGCCCCGGCAGACCTCCCAAACCTATCCGAAGAGTCCCACGAGGGCCCTAGACCCCCCAAAAGAACCCGAAGAGGGTCCCAAGAACAAGAGCGCCCCAAGCGGCGCCGTGAGGACCCCAAGCGAGACCCAAGATGGCTCCAAGTGACCTCCGAGAAAGAAATCCAAGGCGGCTGTTACACTGCATGCTTCTACGCTTCCCTGATCGATTCAACTCGTCTGGCGATCTGTTCCTGGATGGGCTGGTGGGGATACGCGAAGCTTTCTAAACTGGGCAGATCATCCCAGCTCTGCCGAATCGACAGAGTCTGACCCTGCAACCAAGACCATCCGAAACAGCGTCTACCGCAGTCAGCATCGAGCCAGATAACCCACGCCAACTGCAAGCAACACAACGCACGCATCATTGAAGCAATGTCGAAGCCTTCAGCAAACGAATGGAACGAAAACGTTTAGTGTCAGCATCGGTATGACCACTCTGATTCCCACTGTAACGCTCTCATCACCAGAACTACTACACGACAGAGATTCGCAGACAACCTCATGACAACTGTCGATTCCCATGGTGACGCTCTCGTCAAAAGAGCTACTCGCACGGCAGAAACTCGCAGACAACCACATGATCAACAAGTTGTCGACGGGTATTAGCGAACAGCAGCCAACATACAAATTCACACAAACGACAAATGCAGCCTCGAGCAAACGTTACTGTGCAAGGCTGGTGCCCAGATCTTGGTGGGAAGTGGCGTCCTCGGCCGATGCCTCCGGATCTAACATACGTGCAACTCGGAAGATCATCCCAGCTCTGCCGAAACGACAGCGTCTGACCCTGCAACCAAGACCATCCGAAATAGCGTCTACCGCGGACAGCATCGAGCCAGACGACCCACGCCAACCGCAAGCAACACAACGCACGCATCATTGACGCAACATCGCAGCCTTCCAGCAAGCGAATGGAATAGAAGCGTCTTGCATCAGTACCTGTCTGACCACTTTTGATTCCCACTGTAACACTTTCATCAAAAGAGACACTCGCACGACAGAAACTCGCAGACACCCTCACGACCAACATGTTCTCCAGCGATCACAGCAAACAGCAACCAACACACACATGCACACACACACACATGCACACCTCGGGCACACGTTACAGAGATCGTGCCCAGATCTTGGTGGGAAGTGGCGTCCTCGGCAGACGCCTCCGAAGCTAGCTGATGTGCAACTCGGAAGATCATCCCAGCTCTGCCGAATCGACAGAGTCTGACCCTGCAAACAAGATCATCCGAAACAGCGTCTACCGCAGACAGCATCGAGACAGATAATCCACGCTCACTGCAAGCAGCACAACGCACGCATCATTACAACACCATCGCAGCCTTCAGCAAGCGAATGGAACCAAAGCGTTTAGTATCAGCATGTGTCTGACTACGTTTGATTCCCACTGTAACGCTCACATCACCAGCGCCACTCGCACGACAGAAACACAAAAAAACCTCATGATCAAGAAGTTGGCAAGAGATTACAGCAAACAGCAACATGAACACAAACGACTAATGCAGCCTCGAACAAACGTCATTGTACACAGCTTATGCTCAGATCTTGGTGGCTAGTGGCGTCCTCGGCAGATGCCTCCGGATCTAACATATGTGCAACTTGGAAGATCATCCCAGCTCTGCCGAAACGACAGAGTCTGACCCTGCAAACAAGACCATCCGAAACAACGACTACCGCGGACAGCATCGAGACAGATCATCCACGCTCACTGCAAGCAACAAAACGCACGCATCATTGAAGCAACATCGCAGCCTTCAGCTAGCGAATGGAACCAAAGCGTTTAGTGTCAGCATCGGTATGACCACTCTGATTCCCACTGTAACGCTCTCATCACCAGATCCACTACACGACAGAAACTCGCAGTCAACCTCATGACCATTTTTTACTCCCATGGTAACGCTCTCGTCAAAAGAGCTACTCGCACGGCAGAAACTCGCAGACAACCACATTATCAACCTCGCAGAAACCGCAGGATGTTAGCGAACAGCAGCCAACATACATATGCAAGCAAACGACAAATGCAGCCTCGAGCAAACGTTACAATGCACAGCTGGTGCCTAGATCTTGGTGGAAAGTGGCGTCCTCGGCAGACGCCTCCGGATCTAACATACGTGCAACTTGGAAGATCATCCCAGCTCTGCCGAAACGACAGCGTCTGACCCTGCAACAAAGACCATCCGAAATAGCGTCTACCGCGGACAGCATCGAGCCAGACGACCCACGCCCGCAGCAAGCAGCACAACGCACGCATCATTAAAGCAGCATCGCAGCCTTCAGCAAGCGAATGGAATAGAAGCGTCTTGCATCAGTACCTGTCTGACCACTTTTGATTCCCACTGTAACACTCTCATCAAAAGAGACACTCGCACGACAGAAACTCGCAGACAACCTCACGATCAACATGTTCTCCAGCGATCACAGCAAACAGCAACCAACACACACATGCACACAAACGACGAATGCAGCCTCGGGCACACGTTACTGTGCAGAGCTCGTGCCCAGATCTTGGTGAAAAGTAGTGTCCTCGGCCGATGCCTCCGAAACTAGCAGATGCGCAACTTGGAAGATCATCCCAGCTCCGCCGAATCGACAGATTCTGACCCTGCAACCGAGAACATCCAAAACAACCTCTACCGCGGACAACATCGAGCAAGATCGACCACGCCCGCAGCAAGCCACACAACGCACGCATCATTGAAGCAACATCGCAGACTTCAGCAAGCGAATGGAACAGAAGCGTCTTGCATCAGCACCTGTCTGACCATTTTTGATTCCCACTGTAACACTCTCATCAAAAGAGACACTCGCACGACAGAAACTCGCAGACAACATCACGATCAACATCGCAGAAACCGCAGGGTATTAGCGAACAGCAGCCAACATGCATATGCACGCAAACGACAAATGCAGCCTCGAGCAAACGTTACTGTGCAAGGCTGGTGCCCAGATCTTGGTGGGAAGTGGCGTCCTCGGCAGACGCCTCCGGATCTAACATACGTGCAACTTGGAAATTCATCACAGCTCTGCCGAAACGACAGAGTCTGACCCTGCAACCAAGACCATCCGAAACAACGACTACCGCGGACAACGTCGAGCCAGATAACCCACGCAAACCGCAAGCAACACAACGCACGCATCATTGACGCAAAATCGCAGCCTTCAGGAAGCGAATGGAACCAGAGCGTTTAGTGTCAGCATCGGTCTGACCACTCTGATTCCCACTGTAACGCTCTCATCACCAGAACCACTACACTACAACAACTCGCAAACAACCACTCGATCAACAAGTTGGCAAATGATTACATCAAACAGTAGCCAACATACATGTATAGAATAAAAGGACAAATGCAGCCTCGAGCAAACCTTACTGTACACAGCTTATGCTCAGATCTTGGTGGGTGGTGGCGTCCTCGGCAGATGCCTCCGGATCTAACATATGTGCAACTTGGAAGATCATCCCAGCTCTGCCGAAACGACAGAGTCTGACCCTGCAAACAAGACCATCCGAAACAACGACTACCGCGGACAGCATCGAGACAGATCGATCACGCCACCTGCAAGCAACGCAACGCACGCATCATTGGAGCAATGTCGCAGCCTTCAGCAAGCGAATGGAACCAAAGCGTTTAGTGTCAGCATCTGTCTGACCACTTCTGATTCCCACTGTAACGCTCTCATCAAAAGAGCCACTACACGACAGAAACTCGCAAACAACCACACGATCATCAAGTTGGCAAGGGCTTACAGCAAACAGCAGCCAAACACACACACACACACATCTGACGAATGCAGCCTCGGGCAAACATTACCGTGCACAGCTAATGCCCAGATCTTGGTGGGTAGTGGCGTCCTCGGCAGATGCCTCCAGATCTAAGATCTGTGCAACTTGGAAAATTAGCAAAACCTTGCGACAGAGTCTGACCCTGCAAACAAGAACATCCAAAACCACAACTGCCGCGGACAACGTCGAGCCAGATCGACCACGCCCACTGCAAGCAACAAAACGCACGCATCATTGAAGCAACATCGCAGCCTTCAGCTAGCGAATGGAACCAAAGCGTTTAGTATCAGCATCGGTCTGACCACTTCTGATTCCCACTGTAACGCTCTCATCACCAGAGCCACTACACGACAGAAACTCGCAGAGAACCACACGATCATCAAGTTGGCAAGGGCTTACAGCAAACAGCAGCCAAACACACACACACACACACATCTGACGAATGCAGCCTCGAGCAAACATTACCGTGCACAGCTAATGCCCAGATCTTGGTGGGTAGTGGCGTCCTCGGCAGGTGCCTCCGGATCTAAGATCTGTGCAACTTGTAAGGACACCCCAGCTGTGCCGAATCGACAGACTCCGACGCTGCAAACAAGAACGTCCAAAATAGCGTCTACCGCGGACAGCATCGAACCAGATCGCCCACGCCCTCTGCAAGCAACACAACGGACGCATCATTCGATCATCCGCGGGGCCTTCGGCAAGCGAATGGGACTGTAGCGTTTAGTGCCCGCATTTGTCTGACAACTTTTCAGTCCCACTGATACGCTCTCGACCATCGAGCAGCTCGCACGAAAAAAACTCGCAGACAACCTCACGATTAACAAGTAGTCAAAGGATCACAGCAAACAGCAACCAACACACATGCACAAAATCGACTGATGCAGCCTCGGGCACACGTTACTGTACACAGCTTGTGCTCAGATCTTGGTGGCTAGTGGCGTCCTCGGCAGATGCCTCCGGATCTAACATATGTGCAAATTGGAAGATCATCCCAGCTCTGCCGAATCTTCAGAGTCTGACCCTGCAAACAAACAACGTCAACCGCGGACAGTATCGAGCCAGATCGACCATGCAAGCAGCAAGCAACACATCGCACGCATCATTCAATCATCAGCGCAGCCTCCAGAAATCGAATGGAACCAAAGCGTTTAGTATCAGCATCGGTCTGACCACTTGGATTCCTACTGTAACGCTCCCATTAAACGAGCCACTCGCACGACAGAACCTCGCAGACAACCTTACAATAAACAAATGCAAAGGGATAACAACACTCAGCAGCCAACACACACACACACATACACAAGCACACAAACGCACCAACACGACTAACTCAGCTCGCGAGACTTCAGTAAAGAGCTATCTCAAATCTTGGTGGTTCGTGGCATCCTCGGCAGATACCCTGGATCTAACAGATGTGCGAATCCAACAAGCCCTTTGAGCTAGGGTGGTATAACGATATCTTCTTTTCCTCTTGCAAAACCCTCTTCCCTGCGGGGAGGGGTACACTCCCCTTCCCCTTACGGAGGTTTCTTGGGGTCGGAGGCGGTCTCGATCGGCCAGGGCGCCAAAAAATTGCCTCCAAGGCGATTCAAGATAGTCGAAGATGGTTCAAGATAGTCTCCCGCATACCTCAAAGAGACCCGACGAGGGCTACAACCCTTCAGCAAACTACGGAAAATCAATGATTTGTGACTTTACGCCCATTCGCTTCCGATGTGCTGTTGGGACCTCAAGATGGCCCCAAGATGGCCCAAAGCAACAACCAACACACACTGTTGCACAAACGACAACCGCAGGCCCGCCCAAAACTTCACAGTCAACAATGTGTGCACAAATCTTGGTGGTTGGTGGCGTCCTCGGCAAATACATCCGGAAAAAACATATGTGCAAATAAGTCCCAACTCTGCCAAATTAGAACCGTCTGACCCTCCGAGCAAGGACATCCCCAAAAGGGCAAATTGCTGACAGCACCTAGCAGCATCGACCACGCCTGCAGCCAACAACACACTCCACCCCACGCATCATACAAGCACCATCCCAGCCTCCAGACAGCGACTATAAACATAGCGCCGTTTGATTCCCACCGTAGCGCTCTCATCACAACGAGCCACGCGCGCGACGAAAACTCGAAAACAACCTCACGATAACCAAATGAGAAGGGCTCACAACGAACAGCAGCCAATAAACGCATACGTGCGCAAGTGAATGCAGGCGCACGCAAGCATCACAGTGAACAGCAGATGCTCGGATCTTGGTGGACGATGCCTCTGGATCCAGCATATGTGCAAATTGGACGATCATCCTGACTCTGCAGAATCTACACCGTCTGACCCTCCAAGCAAGAGCATATGATCATATGATGAGACACACAGTAGGGATTCTCGCCAACAGCATTTAACATAATCGATGATAGCCGATGCAAGCAGCACAGCGCACGCATCCCAAAAGAAACATCGTACCCTTCAGACATCGAATATAATCATAGCGTGTGGTATTAGCATTGGCCTGACCGCCTCATCACTGTGACGCTCTCATCACAGGAGCCACGGGATCAAACATGGACATGCATGCACGCAACACATACCCAACATGCGCTCGCGAAGTGAAGCGATGGGCCATTCGACAAGCCAGCACCTAACACCTCAAGGGTCCCAAACTACAGGCACCAGGTTCCACAAGCAATGTTCTCAAGTATCACCCAGCAAATGTCAAACTTCCCCAAACCAGTGTTCTAACGTGGCCAAAAGAAACTCCCGATCGGCCAAGCATATATTCCCAAATGGCATATATCCCCAAATGGCAGAAGCAAGCTCCCCAAACGACAGAAAAATAACATCCTCAGTGGGCCGAAATTAAAAAAAAAAAAAAAAAAAAAAACGAAGTGGCCAACACAACAATCCAAAGTGCAACCAAAAACAATCCCCAAGCTGCGCCAATGTAATCTGATACTGGAAGCGCTCCCCAAATAACTTCTGGAGGGACTCAATACGGCCTTAAAGATCCTTCGACGGTCCAAGATGGCGCCAAAACAACCCCCTAACACCCTGCATACGGCCGAGAGGGCCGTAAGACGCCCAAGTGAGACGCAAGACGGCCGGAGAGGGGCCAAACACGGCCCAAGCGAGCCCCAAGACGGCCCCGAGAGACCCCAAAGACTACTCAACAAGAGGCCAACACAGCGTCAAGACAACCCAAATAAGCGCCCTGAGAACTCCGATCTAAGCGACGACGAAAGGTATGACATGTAACCGCCTTCCTTCCCCTCGTCCTCCTCCTGCTCCTGTTGTTCCTCCTGCTCCTCCTCCTCTCCACCTCCTCCTCCTCCTCCTCCTGGTCATCATCATCAACAAGAACATCATCATCATCATCATCATCATCATCATCATCATCATCATCATCAGCATCATCATCATCATCACTACCATCATTTCTATCATCATCGTCGTAAGCACCATCATCACCATCAACATCAGCTATCATCATCATCATCACCATGATCATATCAACCACCATCACCATCACCATCATCACCATCATCATCACCACCATCATCACCATTACCATCATCGCCATCAGCGCCATCATCATCATCATCAGCATCATCACAATCACCACCACCACTACCATCATCATCACCATCATCACTATCATCATCATCATCATCATCATCATCATCATCAGCATCACCATCATCATCATCATCATTATCCTCATCTCGAGCGAGTATCATCATTAGCATCGCCATCATCACATCCACCTTCACCATCGTCAGCATCATCATCATCATCATCATGAGCATCAGCATCATCATCGTCATCATCGACATCATTAGCATCAGCATCACCATCATCATCATCATCATCAACATCACATCATCACTAACATCATCAGCATCTTCATCATCACCATCACCATCATCATCATCATCATCATCATCATCGTCATAATCATAATCAGCATCAGCAGCATCATAATCATAATCACCTTCATGATCATCCACATCATCATTATCGTGCTGATCATCATCAGTAAGGTTATCCCAAATCTCAAGCATAGGTAAACGACATGTCACACGTGATGGCCTGCTGTGACCTCTCGAACAACCGCCACCCAAAACGCTGGGTTGATACGGGTGGTGGGACTTGCCGTAAACAGCTGAATATAGATCCGTGAATCGCATGATGCGAGATGCCGAGACCTGCTGGCTGATCGATCTTGTTACCAGTGAAACGGGCACATGTTGTCATTCGCCGCCAAAGAACTGTAGGAAATACGATCCCTGGCTAGCGCCACACCAAAAACTGTTTCCAACTCCTGCCCGGTACCATCACGACTTCCTGGATGGCCAGCGCGACGACAGCACACCAAGGTCTGACTTCAAGAGGTGCCCGCGTGACAATCAAGGGAACACCCCGCCAGAGAGGGGGCCCTAAAGCATCGACCCTCATCCGTCCTCCCCCCCCCTCCCTCATCCGTGAGGGGGCGCGATAAGGGGGAATTGGCTCAGATGGGGGGAACAATGAAGTGGAATCGACGATACATCGCTGGTGGGTCGGCGATGGACCGACGATAGCGAGCCCGAGCGCTCCTGGCCCCCCTCCCTGGCGCGCGGAGCGCTCCAGGGTCAGCGTAAGAGGCGCCGCCAGGGGGGCGGGGGGGGGCAGCGCCGATCCACGAAATCTGCGCGAACCTCAGAGCTGTTGTTCTCCCTCGACTCTCGCTACCCCTGGCTCCTCCCGTCCCTCCTCCCCGGAAGGCATGGAGCAAGGATGTGGGGCACGGAGAGGGGGGAGCTCGCGCTCTGGGGGCTGCGCGTGGCGCCGCCTGGGTCGGCTTCGCCAGCTGTTCCAGTTCTTGACGATGTCCTCCAGCTTCCTGCTCACGGGCGAGGGGGCAGGGAGGCGAGGCGAGTGGGCGAGCCAGGGGGAGCGTCGAAATGAACGAGCACGCCTCAAGAGAAAGAGGAAAACCTGAGGGGGCCCGCGGAGGAAAGAACCACAAGGCCACCCAAGTGGCGTTGCTGGGAGCTGGGTGCACAGGGGTGGGGCCTCAGGAAAACCACCACCCTTCCAAGCAGCAGCCTGGGGAGTGGGGATGGGGCTTCAGGAAAACACCCAGGCCGTGAACCTCCCCAGGTCATGTACCTGAAGCCCGTCGGGGACAGGAAAACGGGCAAGGTCAGAACACCACTACCCGCCTCGGCGGGGCAGACCACGGCTGATCCTGTCGATCGCCACGAGCTGGTTGTGACGAGTACTCCGGCTCTCTGCCTAGCATCTCACACATTGGGTGGCGTATCACCACATTTGATGTTAAACAATGGTTTCTACCAGAAAAGTAGCGCTTCCGTGCTAGCACAAACCCGCTGGTAGTCGCTGCGGTTGTAGACGTGAATGTAATGGTAGTGGTCATAATTGTGCTATTTATGTGGTTGTGGCCACGGTCATGGTGGTAGGGGTAGTGGAACACCCCACCGTCGCGATAGTAAAAGCCAACACTAACAAGTGCCAACATCCTGGACAGACAATAGTCCTAGTGCCATAAAGAGCGCATATGCAAGAAGCCTATGATCAAATGATACCTGATATTCACTGGCTGCGCTAGTTGCAGAATAAGGGCTGCAACTTAGTTACGAGACAGCTGCATAACATACATACACACTGGATAGAACATCACACAATCATCGTGTAATAAAACGGGGACTGAACGCATAAACATAATACACGCGCACGTAAGAGGACACTATATGGAGGCACATATTTGAAGCATGCAACCGGACTGACACGACCAATACACCCGACGTGAACGCTTCACACGGAGAAGATAAACATGGCATGATACTTAACATCGAGATACGCAATACGTCCTGATAAGCGTATGTTAGCCAGCGTGGACCCTGAACAGTGTGTTATACTTTATGGCAGACTCGATGGTGTAATGCATGATGTGCGAACTATGTGTGGGGTAAGCTATGTGGAGCAATACAGGTGGGTCAAATATGTATATATGTAGATTCAAGTAGTTGTGTGCTGTAAGTTGTGTGTTGCAGTATATGTGGTATAAGCGATGCTGTGAAACGTATGTGGTGCAATTCATATGGTGCAACTGGTATGGTGCAATGTCTATGTTGTGCAAACTTCGTGGCGCACTATACGTCATGTGAACTATGTGGCGTTGCATATGCTATAGGTCGTGTGAGCTGCGTGGTGCACGCGGTGGAAAGATGTGCGATATAGACTATATGGTGCTGTCTGAGTGGGGCAGGCCGCGTGGTGCAGTCTGTGTGGTTGCGTGGTGCAGTCTGAATGGTGCAGTCCTGTCAGCGATGTGGCACAGTGCGTGCGGTGCGGCGACGGGGCGGCGACGACGGGCGGAGACGAGGCGGCGACGGGCGGCGACGAGCGGCGACGAGGCGGCGGCGGAGCGAGAACAGGCCGGCCGGGGCAGCACACGGGCCAGCTTCCCTAAGACAAGCGAGAGCCCCTAAGCGCAAGTTCGGATTCGGAAAAAAAAACTGCGAGGATGCTTCAATAGGTATCATAAGCACGAGCCCATATTATCGAATAGCCCCTTCCACTCGAACCCTGTGGTACATCCCGCCCGCGAATAGAAAGTGCCGACCCACTGCACGGCGCCCCAACAAATTGTACATAGGACGAGGGATCGTGGTGAACAATCTCTGGAATACCAATCGTCCCTTGTATCCAAATGCTTGGTAAGAACATCTGTGTCGACACAAACCGGTGCTCGCTCTGATAATCGTACCGGCACCGTGTTGAATCCTGTAGCCGACAGAATAACATCCCAAAGAAGACGTGTATCGAATTATGAAAATCTGCCCCCAAACCCCCGGTTTTACTGACATGCAAAACATCACTGTCAGCCCCGTTGCCTGTTTTGCTTCACGTCCCGCACGTTAACTTGCACTTAACTGATTCAGAAGGGAATTGTTCACCGTGTCGCGTGGTGAATGACTGATGGCCAGGTGGAAGAACTGGTCTCCTCGTTATGTGATTTCCCGAAGCGGCCATCTCTTAACTTCCCAAAATTTGGTGCCAATCTGTCCCGCTGGCCTTTCAATTTCCGTAGACTGCCGACCCCCCCCCCGCGCCACCCCGCGCTGCAGGAAGTGACAAACAGAAAACAGGAACCCTACAAAATGACTAACACCATCGTCTAAAGCAGATGGGAGAGGGAGGAACGACGAGGTGTGGCAATGAGGGCGGAATGTCCAGGAAGAGCGCGGTGTGAGGGAGGGCGGAGGAGCGAGAATGGGGACGACAGATTCCGGAGGGCGGAGGAGTGCAGAGGAGTCGGGTGAGGTGGGCAAGCCTAACAGTGGCCGCGGGCCCCTGGAAAGACAGCGCCCCGTGGCGACCTCGCGGCCCTTCGCGTGGTGGGGTGTGCGGAAGTGGCACAACTTGACAGAACTTGTCATACAACTGGCTGGTAAACACAGGGTGGGCTACAAAACTGGCTGGCTGAACCATAAGACGTACAACGATCTACTTGCAATCCTGGTCAGAGTTCGACCAAATCTATCGTCCAAACGATCTTTTACGGACATGTTCTAGAACCCATTCTACTCATTCGTGCCAGCCCCGCGCACCCTGGATATAGAAAAATCATGCACCAACCCAAAAACAACCTACGGGACTATGGCAAGACAGCCACGGGATTTCCACTAGCCGCAGCCGGCGTACCATCGCGCACCTTCGCCTTGCCCGCGCACGCGACACGAATCAAAACCAAAACCAGGGTCATGGTTTGGATCACGTCGATCTCAAGCCTAAGCCTCCATTCCTCGATACAACCATGTATCTAGACATCATTATACGCACGTGCATACATAAACCTATCCATCAACGTCGACGCAGACGCCAATCTGTGCATATGACAATGCATACACGTTGGCATGCGCATGCACACGTCAATAAAATACACATACACACGCCTGCAATCATGCAAACACAAGTACCGATGCATGTACACATGCATGCGCGTTCCATGTGTTGGAACTGGGGGGGGCGATCGCAATCAAAAAACACTCCGGGGAAAAAGGTTTCGGTTTCGGTTTCGTGTTCGTGTCGTGCGACGCACAGCTGCGTAAGCGCGCGATAGGAATGACCCCGAAGTCGCTACGGCGATTCGGATGCCGTGGACCTCCCCTCCCCCCACCGGTGGGCGCGCGGTGGCTCGGGGTGTCCCGCCATGGTGTCCTGTGGTGTCCCGTTGGTGTTCTGTTGGTGTCCCGTCGGTGATCCGTCGGCGGTGGGTGGTAGGTGGCCGGGAGGTCCCGCCATGGTATCGATAGTGGACTCGATAGCGAGATTCATAATGCGATCGTTCGGAAGGGAAGGATAGTGAAATCAACACTTAGATCGGCAACGAGACAATGAGGTTGATTGTGACATTGTTTGTGATCGCGCTGTCGGATGCGCAGGGAACTGATGTCCCCTGGGTTGCGCAAGTATCGCGGGGACAGGCGATATCCCCAGGGGCGAACACAATTGGATCGATCGCTGAAACCAGTGGTAATAAGACCCGCCGTGGGGTCGATCGCGGATAGATTGGGTGATATCGAAAGCGAGGGCGCAACTGACATTACGCCGCAGCGCAACATTGTCATCACGCGTCGTCGCAGGTCGAGGGCGCGCCACCAGTATCGCCATCATCACACACATCGCCTTCGCCAGCCATTGTTTCTGCCCCCCCCCCACCCCACAACCTCGGGTGATCACGAAGAGAAGTCGTATAGGTATAGCAACCATGACACATGCCTAAATACGCCTATCCAGCGTGTGAATTTCAAAGAGGGTGGGCCTGAGCTCGCTTAGCTTCGCTCTGGAAGAGGTGGAAGCGACCGTGTTCGGGGGGGGGTCTGCTCCGAAGGGTGAACCACCTCGAAGATGCCGCGTGCGCAGCCGCGCGCCTGGAATGATCGCATAAAAAAACGCCCCCCCCGCCCCTCGCATGAGGAACTTCAGACCGATGGGATCGCCAAACGACGCTCGAACTGCAAGCGGAAACTACTCGACGGTCGGCCAACGACAGCGCCGCGCAATTCAACGCGAACGGCGCGCTGCTGCGATGCTCAATGACGTTTGAACTTGGCGTTTCCTTGTCCTGGCGCGCGGTCAATGCCCAAAATCATTGCGGACATTCGCGCGCTCGTGCTGGGGCAGAAACCATGGGCGCGTCGGCCCCTGGCGGCGCTGGCAAGAGCCCCAGGCGCCCAGGGCCCGCCGCGCGCGGGCGCGCATCGACAAGCTGAGCTCCGCCCAGAACCACGCAGTTTAAGCACCAAGCGAATGATTTATATAAGCTCAAAATACCATCAATCCAAGCTCCTCCAGAGCAGAAGGTCTCGCGCGGGAGAGCCCCGAAAAGTTTATATAAACAAAAAATGCGTGTATAAAAGAGCACAAAAAACAACTTGTAGGACCGGTTGCCTTAAGAGCAACGCTCCCGATCTAAACTTTGCTGTCGGCGGGGTTACGAGGGCCGCGGCGCGGCCGTGGCGCGCGCAGCCCTTGAAATGCCAGCGCGGGCGCGGCCGCGTCGAGCGGGCCCAGGACGTCGCCGCGCGCGCGGGGCCCTCCTGCGGCAGCTGGCCATAGTCTCGCCCACAGGGCGCCTACATTTACGCCCATTCGCCGTATTTTTGTTTGTCCAGCGGGCGCTGACCGAGCTGACCGGGCGCCGACGCGCCGCGCCCAGGACGAGCCACCTGCGCCGCATTAGGGGGGGGGGGGGGGGGGGGGGGGGGGGGCGCGACCCCGGCCAGCGCAGGGAGGCGCGCGGCAGCGGGATGGCGGGGGGCGTCGCCTCCGCGAACGTCATTGGCAACGCTCGCCTCAGACCAGGAGGTGCCACTGACCACTCTGTGCACCCTAGCAGAGCGGGTGGGCCCAGGCAGCACGGCTTGCCCACCATGGCGGGTGCTCTGCAATTTCCCCGGCCTGACAGCTCATTCGCCGTAAATGCAAAACGCTGACATATGTGAAATTCAAATTGCGGGGGCTGGGGTCGGTTCCCCACTGTCCATCGAAGCGCAGAAAGCCAGAAACGCCTGGCGCCTGCTGCCCCGCACCCACCCTCATGGGCAGCGCGTCGGGGGGCTTCGCGGCGCGCGCCTCCGAGGCCGCGTGGTGGTGGGGGGGGGGGGCGAAAACGACAGCCTTTTAGGCCGTTGAGCTCGCTCTCGGGCGCCGCTCGCCACTTCGCCTTCGCGATCTCCGCGCAAATGATGATGCTCAGCCCGCTGACTTTCGCGATCTTCGTGAACTCGAGAGGCGCGTTGTCGTCGCCCGCGGAGAGATTGGCCCGCTCTGGGGCCGCAGCGGCAGAGGCCGCGAGGGCGGGGCCGAAGTAGTCGAGCACGCGGGGGGGGCGCCGACGATCGCGAACGTCGCGGCGACCAAAACCAGCGAGCGAGGAACGTTGCGGTTGGGCCCCTCCTGGCCCCAGCCAGCACTTGCGGCGCCCGGTGCGCTTGAAATGCCGGCCGCGGCAAGCAGGGCTAGAGAATCCGCCGCCGTGGGCCCCGGGTTCGAAGGGCCGCTCGCCCGCGTCGCTCAGGAGGGGCCCGCGACTGCGGCGCGCGTTTCGGGCGCGAGTGCGGCGGAGGGCGCGGCGCGCAGGACAGGCGATGCCCGTCGGCGCCGCCCCCCGCAACGCACCTCGGTCACCGCCCGCGCGGGCAGGTCGTCGAAGCTGGTCGCCCGGTGATCCCGCGGGCGGAGGCGGCAGCTCCAGGGGCGCATTCGGGTCGCCGCTGATCTCGGGGCTCTGGCCACCAACGCCTTCAGAGACTACTCCGACGCCGTGGTCAACGCGACGTGCGCTTCCTGGAGATCCAGCGCTAGTTGATGCAGCTGGCGGCGCCTCTGCAACGCCATCTGGTCGAGCCCCTCCTGCACCCTGACCCTCGCCCCGCGCGTCGTCAGCGCCGACGAGGTCTCGCCGGGCCAGCGAACATAATCTCCAAACACCCCCGCGAAGAACGATGAGAACACGATGATCCACCGCTGCTCTGGTCGCTTCGCGATGGAGTCCTTCCGCCCGATCAACCAATCGCTCTCGACGCCCGCGCCCAGGAGCGCGGCGCCGCGCGCCCGCTCCGCCCGCGTGGGCGAGGGGGCGCCCCCGAAGCGAGCGCAGACCTTGACGCCGAACGCAGGGCGCTTCCCTGGCCGATCCTGCGCGCGCATCCTGGAGCAGCGCGCGGAGCGCTACCGGTCCAAGGGGCCCGCCCGGGAGAGGGGCGCGGCCCTGGCCCTCAGTTTCGCCGCGCCAGCGCCGCGCCCCGCCTGCCCATTCGGCCTGGGCTCGACACCCGGCGTGACAGTGACAGCGATCGGAGTTCTCTTCGCCTCGATGTGCCATGGAGGTGCCCCAGCTCGGTCGCCATGGACGCGGTAGCAGATATTGGCCCCATCGACATCCGCCCACAGCTGGGCAATAATAAACTCGACTGCGCGAATGCAACTGACGGTCCTGAAGGTTACCCAACGACGCGCAAAAGTACCGCATCTAGGAGATCATGCCGCTCTCGTCCTCAACCTCTGCGTCGGCCGCGATGCTGGAGTCGCCGCTCGGAGAGAGCTTCTCCGCCCGTTCCTCGGGGGGCTCGAGCCTCGGCCTGCATGGCCGCGCCGAGGGGCCAAATATGGGGTCGCAGACGCTCGGCCCAGCATGGTTCGCCCGCTGCTCAAGGAGCCCGACGGAGTCCACCCCGAACGCGGCCGCCGCTTTCTCCGCCGCCAGCTCGGCGCCCTGCTCGACGGAATCGGCGGCGACCGCGGCGTCGAGTCGAGGGGCGCCGCCGACGTCGGGCCCCCCGCTGGAAGGCCGCCGCCCTGGGGGGCGCGGCCCAGACGCGTCGACGCCGAGCTGGCCCCCGGGACTGGCGGAGACGTCGAAGCGATGATTGGCTCGAAGGCGACCGAGGGCTCCACGGCGGCCTGGGCAACCAAGTCGAACGCCGACGCGCCCGCCCTCCACGCGCTCCCGGAGCATGCTCGCAACGACGGAGTCCCGCAGCGAAGGTCCATGCGCTCGTCCACGATGGCGCGCTTCGCCTGGCACCTGCGATCGCGCCATAACTCTGCGTCGCTCTCCTCAGAGTAGATCGCGCCCCTCTCGCGGAGCAGGGCGATAAACTCGCCCGTGGGACGGCCCGAGGCGCGCGCCGAGGAACTCCGGGAGAAGTCTAAGCTCATCTCGTCGATGTAGCTGCCTGGCGGGAAGAGCCACTGGAAATGCGCCCAGCGCGCGCGCCGCGTCTCCCACCGTCGCAGCCTCTTCCGCCCCTGGGACTGGGGCCTCGGACTCGGGCAGGTCGCTGAAAGGCTTGGTTCCGCGCACCTCGTGGGTGGCGCCAGTGTCCGCGACGATCCAACGCGCGCCGCTCTCGACCTGGATATTCCTGGTCCGCGGGCCGTCGGGGGACCCTGGCCACCCTCGCGGCGGGCGGCTGCCCGCGCGAAGTCGAGGCCGAAGCAGCTGGCGCCAGCGCGCGCCACGCCGTCGATGTCGAAGGGCTCGAGGCAGCCATCGGCGCAGACGCGCGCGGGCCACGATCAGGAGGGGCCTCAGCAGAAGCTGGGGGCGGAGTCCTGGGGGCTGGGGATGGAGGCGCATCGGCGAAATCGTCGAGCTCATGGTCGTCGTCGGTGTAGATGACGGCGAGGCCCCGAGGGCGACGGGGTCGAGCGACGCGCCTCGCAAGAACGGCCGAGAGGGGCCGTGCTCCAAGAGGGGCCCCAGCTCCTGTCGCACGATGCCGTTGACGTCGCCAGAAGCCACTGGACTCGGACACGCAACCGCTGCCGACTTGCCGGCGGCTGCCAGTCTGCCCGCCTTGTCCGCGCCAGCGGCCGAAATCGATGGCGATCCTGCAGAGGCTGCGTTTTGGTCCTCCGCCTGGTCCTTCGCGGCATTTGCAGGACGCTTGGGCTTCCGCGGCTAGCGGCGCGCTGCCGCGCCATGGCAGTCCGCGCCGCAGTCGGAGCAGCGCCCGTCGCTGCTCCGACTGCGCTCCGTTGCAGCGGGGCACCAGGCGTGGCCGGCCCGCGCTGCATCCGGTCGCGAGGTTGTTGAAGTGCGGGCAGGTGGCCATGCCAAAGCCTCCCGCGTCTTCCATGCCCTTCCCGAGCTTGCCCTTCAGCTCGCCTTTGGCCGGCTCGCCGCCATTCGGGTCGCCCGTGGTCGGCTTGCCCTCTGGCGGCCGCGGCGGCAGCGGCGGCAGCGGCGGCCCGGTGGCGGCCGCGGCGGCCGCTGCTCGAGCCGCCTTCCTCGACGGCGGTCGGAGGGCGCATCTCCCCGACGTCGCCCGAATACCTGGCCGCTCAAATGCCTCCAAGCAAGCGTATCTACTCGAGCTTGGTTGGCCGCCCCGGTCGCGATGTTGTTCTGCGCCAGGAACGCGATCTAGAGGTGCTTGAACTCCTCGCTTCTCCTCGAGAACACCCCCGCGGTCTGCCTCGGGGCCGCCATCTGGTTGGGGGGGCCGGGCAAGCTGGCACTGGGGGGGGCCGTGCGTTTCGAAGTGAATTCCCTCTCTGCCAATTTGTCGCGCGCCCCCTCGACCTCGACCACCACGCCCGTCTGCGCTCGCTACAAGACGGCGCGCCCGTCGCCCCCCGCGGCCAGCTCAGCGCCCGCGCGCGCGGCGAAAAGGACGTCGCGAGCTTCGTCAACGAGCGCATGGTCTTCGCTTTCTTCGGGTCAAGGTGGAGGAGGATGGGGGCGCAAATGAGGCTCGATCGCGCGGGGGGGCAAAATCTCGAACGGCGCCGTCGCAGCGGCGACCGGCCGCGCGGAGCGGCGCAGCAGCGGGCCCTCCTGGAGGTGCCGGGCACGAGCGCGCTGCGCCGAGCAAGGGCGCAGAAGCCGGCAGCGCTTGGCGCGCCAGCGCAGCCCCCTCAGATCCATGCCAACCGACTCCACCCGGCGCGCCAGTTTCGACGGCTTGGCCGCCGCGGCCCAGCTCCGCGCGAGCCGCGGGGGCTCCGCCGCCTTGATCTTCGAGAACGCGGTCTCCAAACCAGCGTCGCGCTGCGGAGCGCCCCGTTGGATCGCAGCGGCTGCGGCTGCGGGGTCAGATGACGGCGGCGACGGGGGAGGTGGAATTCCTGGCGCTCGTCCGCGACCTCCCTGAGGTAGGAATCCTCCCAGACAGCTGCCGTGGCCTTCTCCTGGATCGCCGCGACACCGCCGCCTGCACCTCCTGGGGCACCTGGAGCGCCGCCACGATGATGACCACAACCTCCAGACCCCCCCTGGGGGCTGCTGAGGATATCCTCCGAAAGCGCCCTGATGGCCACTATTATGATGATGGTGGTGATGATGATGATGGTGATGATGATGATTATGCTCAGTGGGCCCTTGAGGGAAGTCCGCAGCGAAGCCGCCAGCCTGCTGCCGGGCAACAGCGTTGTGACGGAGTCCAGCCGTCCGCGCACGCACGTTGAGGGTGGTCGAGCTGCGGTGGAGCAACAGCGGAATGAACAGGAATTCTGCACGGACCACCATGATGGGTCACCAGATGACCCTGGCGAAGACCAGGGGGTACGTCCTGGAAGTCCTGGGAGGGCTCCAGGGAGCGGATGGCCTCTTGTTGCGTCGCCCAATGATGGTGCTCGTCCTCGGCGAAAATCTGGGCAGCATTCGGCTCGCGGTCTTCGTCGGGCTCGGGCGACGGAGTCGTCCGCGTCGAGCCTGGCCGCAGCGCGCGACGAGGGCGCTGGCTCGCCAGGCTTCGCCTGGCCGCACTGAAATGCACCCTCCACGAGCCCAGGTGCAACCAGGCCCGACGTCGCGAACCCGCTCCTGGCCTTAGCAACCGACGCCACCGACGCTGATGATCGCAGCCGGAATTTCTCCGCCCTGAGCTGCTCCACCTCGCGCTCCATGGAGCGCGCGTCCGCCATGGGGCTCTTCAGCTCGCCCCTCCCACTCCGCGGTTTCGACGGGCACTGCGGCCCCGCTGCCCGCGCCCGAGATGTCGTACCCCTCCAGAACACGAGGCCGCCGATGTGGCGCAGCATTCGGGGCCGCGCCCGAAGTCGCGGAAACCGGCGCGCGAGGACGCGGACGGCCCGACGCGCGGACGCGGCTTTCCGGCGGCCACGCCAGTGGCCAACCCGTCGGCCCCGTCCACGGCGCCAACGGTGACGGCTCCGAGGGCCTGGCCCGCGACGGTGCCCGTCGAGGCCATGAGACGGCTGAAAGCGGCGCCTCCTTGCGCGATCATGTGCTGCGCGCGGTGGTGGCTGTAGGCGTAGTCCAGGCTCCGCGCGCAGCCGTTGCACACCGCCTGGCCCAGCCTGCAAGTGACGTAATGGCCGTGGGCCGACCTGCCGCATGCCGGGCATGTCACCGACGGGCCTGCCATATCGCCACAGCACGAGCACGCACCCAATTTCCACGTAGAAACAGATGGGGAAAACGATGTAGACGGCGGGGGCCCCATGAATCCAGCACCCATAGGCGTTGAGCTCGTACCCCCTGCTACGCCTTCTGGCAGGAGTCTGCCATCAGGTCCGACGATGGAATACACAGTAGGGTAATCATTACAACCAGCACCACCATGGAAGCCATGCGGGAACAGGATGATAAAATTGAGAAGGACGAGGCCCATGGAGTCTGCAATGAGGTTCCGTCTAATTTTATTAGTACAGCCCCTCTGATCTCAACTCTGCAATCTTCGTTCCAGCCGCCAGCTTCTGAAGACGGACGGTCTCCGCAGGCTTGATAGGTAGAGGATGGGGCAACTTATGAGAAATAGGTAGGTTGAGGGTGTGCTGGAGGAGAGTTTCACTAGAGACCGCTAGGCGAGTCACAAGCCTGCGTTGCTGCTGAGACTTGCTCCTCGCATTGACGACTCTCTTTTCCCGTCCATCTTGAGCCAAAGGAACGATACCGAATGTTGTCGCTCGTGCTTCTGACTGCCTTCTCTGAGCAGATACTACACCCTAGCTGCTGCCACTGGCTGCAATGCATGCTCCCGGGATCGTGGCACATGCCGCGAAATATGTGGGCCTGACGTGGCCCCGTGCTATCGTGTAGACTGCGACTGTGCTATGCTATGCCTCACGCGCCGCACGACACAACGAATTGCAAGAAAACCCTGGGGCAGTCGACGAGCTACTCAGGATGGGCACTCGCGGCGCAGCGCGACGGGGCCCGGGTTGCCCGGGCAAGAGCTGTCACAGGCAGCCCCCCCCCCGCGGATGCACGAGCTCTACAGCGACGCGTGCTGCTGATGCCTGTGCTGCGCTCCCCGGCTGCACGCGGCTGGAGGGCCCCCCGACACACTTTTGGTCGGCGGGTCGAGAGCGGGCCTCTTCCGGTTCAGAGCTAGGCGGGGCGCGCGAAGTACTACTTGGGGAGACCGGGCGCGGGCGGGCGGGGCCTCAGGCGGAGGGAGGAGGCAGAGGAAGAGGAGGAGGAGGAGGCGGAGGAGGAGGCGGAGGAGGAGACAGAGAAGGGGACAGAGGAGGAGGAGGAGGAGGAGGAGGAGGAGGAGGAGGAGGAGGAGGAGGAGGAGGAGTAATGGAAGGAGGAGGAGGAGGAGGAGGAGGAGGAGGAGGAGGAGGAGGAGGAACAGGCAGGCGGAGGGCCCCCCGACACACGGCCTTCGGGGAGGGGGGGCCCCTGCTTCCGCTCGGGGGGCCCGGGGGCCCGGGGACCCCGGCCAGGGCCAGGGCCACGGGGGCGCAGCCGAGACCGGGCGGCTGGGGCCAGTCCTCGTTCCATGCTGACTACAAGGCAGTTTTTAATACCTAGGATGGTTGAACATATGAGATGTTCAAAATACATGACTAATTTACGAACAACTTAACCTCGTCCTTGTACGTATTAATCAACCCTTTATTTTTGAGACATGGTCCGCACGCGGAGCATGTATAAAAAAACGGCACTGTTCGCTCCTTCCTCCTACGAGTTCGCACGGAGCGTTCTGGAGAGCCCCCCAAGAGGCCCGAGGGGAGCCTAAGACGCCGCCGAGGAGCCCCAAGAGACCTTCAAGAGGCCCCCAAGAGGCCCCTAGGAGGCCCCAAAGAGGCCCCCAAGAGGCTTCAAAGAGGCCCCATAGAGCGCTCGAGGGCCAGCGGAACGCGATTAAATAAGGAGCTGGGGATAACAGACGCTGGCTTCAATACTAGCGTATTCGAGCTAATCCCCGAAGACAAAGAGAAGGGGGAGAGGTGGGAGGGGGTAAGAGAAGTGCAGAGGACTGGTAATGAGAGCGTCGGACTCTGAAGGTGGGTGGATGAGTCGAGTGAGGTCGAGTGGAGTGGGGACCATCTCGCAGAAGTGGGAGATATGCGAAGAATGGGGAAGAGGGAAGTGGAGTGCGAATGAATAGAAACTACTGAAGAAGGAATACGGGGTCCAAAGAAATCCGGAGGAACACAGCAAAGGGGAGATCGCAGGGGAGGGGACGAAACGGGCAAGAGCTCGGAGGAGTGGAATTGAAGGCGCGGTGTTCCAGAGGGTGCAGGAGCGGGTGGACGAGAATACGGAGGAGTGCGGAGGAATCAGGGGAAGCCTGGTGAATTACTTTTTCTGGAGCAGATCAATCCGTGTATCCAGACAATGGAAGGAACATAGGTCTTGACAGGAACCGCTGCTCGCCCAGATCATCGTATCTGTAAGGAGCTCCCCCCTGGAGTCAGCGCGATATGATCCCAAAAAGGAAATGCATCAAATCATGAAATCCGACCTGCCCAACTCATATTGGCATGCGAAATGTGTTTGTTGGCGCGAGCGCCTGTTTCGCGTACGTAGAGCCCCGCGCGCCAAGCGGTGATTACTTGATGCGGGGTGGGGGGGATTGTTCACCATGTCGCGTGGCTTTGTATTTTTCGACACGGCCGTTTCCACACCTTCCACTGTTGGGTCATAACCAGTCTGCTCGACTGGCATTTCCATTTCCGCAGACCGCTCTTCGCCCGCCCGCGCAGTCCCCAGACGCAGACCCGCCTAAACAAAACGAAGTCTTACGGGCCCCTCACAGAACACCATAGATCGATTCCCCATGTACCTACCTGAACCTGCGGGATGGACGAGACAGCCCTCAGTGCCTTGTGTGTATGTGTGTGCGTGTGTCTGTGTGTGTGTGTGTGTCTGTGTGTGTGTGTGTGTGTTGGGGGGGGGGGGGGGGGGCAGGGGGGGCCTCGCATGAGCACGCGCTGTTCGGTTGCGGTCGCCGCAGTAGCACGCACTGGTCCGAGTCGTGATCGTCGTCTCGAGCACTCCGCCGCCCGCGCTCGCCGCCGCCGCCGCCCGCGCTCGCCGCCGCCGCCACCGCCCTCGCCAACGCTGCCGCTGCCACGGCCGCCGCCGCCACGGCCACCGCCGACCGCCCCGTTGGCACCTGGCCGGCGGCGCCAAGTCGACGAGCGCGTTCTTGGGCACGAGCATGAGCTTCTTCGGGACGGCCAAAGCCTGCCCGCCCAAACCCTCTCCTCTGTCCTGTCCTCCTCTGCCGTGCTCTCTCCCCCTTTCCCTTCCACTCCGCCTCATATCGACTCCTTTCCCAAACTCATATTCCTCCTCCTCCGCCTCTTCCTCCGCGTCAACCTCCTTTTCTTCCTCTTCCTCTTCCTCTTCCTGTTCTTCATCGTTTTCCTCCACCTATTCATCCTCGTTTTTTTCCTCCTCCTCCTTTTCCTCCTCCTCCTCCTCCTCGTTTTCTTCCTCCTCCGTTACCCCCTCCGTTACCTCTTCCTCCTCGTCTTCCTCCTCGTCCTCCTCCTCCACCTTTCCGTTCCTATATATATATATATATGTATATATATATATATATATATATATATATATATATATCGTAACCACCTTGAATATATACATATATATAAACATATACATATATATATACATAAACCCCTCATCTCACAAACCCTTTTTTCTCCTTCCTGTGTGGTGTGCTGTTCCCCAACCCTCCTCCATCTTCCCACACTCGGGGGGGTGATTTCCACCGACGGGGAGGACGAGCGTGTAGAACGGACACACAGGACAAAAATATGGAAAGGCGGGGACAGGAAACGAACGCGATGGACGGAAGTTGAGGAGGGGCAACAAATGGAGGAGAGAGGGATCCAGAGAGAGGAGAAAACGCGTTTCACGGGCGCTTGCCTGGGGAACATTCGGCGGCGCGTTTCGAACAGGGGGGTGGGCCCCCCCTCCCCCCCAACCCCCCCCCCATCCCGACCCCCCCCCCCTCACCCCCTCACCCCGCTCCCAAGGGGGGAGAGGGAGGGTTCAATCCCCCTCCCCCCCCCCCCCCCCGGCGCCGGCGCCGGCGCTGGCGGCCGCCTGCAGCGCCCACGGCGGGGACGCAGCGACGATGACCAGAGGCAGCCCAAGGGGGATTTCACACACACCCCCCTTCGCGCCGGCGCCGGCGCTGGCGGCGGCCAGCAGCGCCGGCGCTGGCGCCAGCGACGGCGGGGACGCAGCGACACTTGCCACCACTACCGCCACCACCATCACCACCACCACTACCACCACCTCAACCCACCACCACCAACAACAACAGCACCACACAACCACCACCACCACCACAAACCACCACCACCACCACAACCACCACCACAACTCACCATCACCACCACCCCGCCACCACAAAAACCCACCACCACTACCACCGCCACCACAACCTACCACACCACCACCGCCACCGCCACAACCACCACCATGACCAGCAGCACAACCCACCGCCACCACCACAAACCACCACACCACCACCACCACCGCCACCGCCAGCACAACAACTAACGTCCACAAACCACCGCCACCACCACAGTCCACCACCACCACCACCACAAACCACCACCACACCACCACCACACAACCACAACCACCACCACCGCCACTCACCATCACCACCACAACCATTAAATCACATATAAAAACAAAAAACACCACCACGACCATCACCACCACCACAATCTACCGACACCACCACCACCACCGCCACAACAACCACCACTACCAGCAGCACAACCCACCACCACCACCGCAAACCACCACTACCACCACCAACGCCACCACCCCCACCACCACCACCACCAGCACCACTTCTACAAACCACCGCCACAACCACAACCCACCACCACCACCACCGCCAACCACCACCACACCACCACCAAACCACCACCACCATAACTACAACCCACCACAACCACCGCCAACCACCACCACACCACCACCAAACCACCACCACAACCACCACCCACCGCCACAACCACCACCACCACAAAAGGCCACCACACCAGAACCACCACAACCACCACCACCGCCACCACCACCGCCACCACAACCCACCACCACCACCAACGTCGTCCTCGTCGACGCTCCCCGCCACCGCCGCCCGCCGCCGCAGGCGCTGGCGCCGGCCCAGACATGGAAATTTTCGTCCCCGCCGCCGTCGCCGCCGCCCTTGCAAGCGCCGGCCCGAGGAGAGGGGAAACACGGGGTGGGTGGGTGGGGGGGTTCGAACCCGCCCCCCCTCCATCCAAGGGGGGGGGGGGTCGGTTTCACCCCCACCTCCAAACGACCACAAAACGCGCTCTTTCGGAGAGAGGAAAGCGAGGGACAAGCAGAGAACCGAGCGGACGGGGGGGCCACTTTCTCCCAGGAGGAGAATGGGACGAGAGGGGAACGACAAAACAAGGCGGGAGACAACGAGGGAGAAAAGGAGTATAGAGAGAGAGAGAGAGAGAGAAACAAAAAAATAACATAAACAAAACACATCGATATGTATGTTATGTGTCCATGTGTATGTGTGTCTGCGTGTGTTAGCCAGGGTGTGCCGAACAACGCGTCTCCAGCAACATTCGATGTACAATATATGCGGAACCATCTACGTGGTGAAATGTATGGTATGCACACTACGTTGTGCAATTTACGATGTGCAACTCACCCTGCCGCGGCGATTGCGATGACTGCTCCGCGGTGGCTGGCGCATCGCCGCGGCCGCGCAAGCGCGCATGACCGAGCGCGAAGCGGCCAGCTGGTTTGGCGCGACCGGCGCGGCCGCGGTGGCGCTGACCGCAGGGCATTTCCCGGCAGGCGCGTCAATGCGCGGCGGCGACATGGGCGAGCGCGGTATAATGGTAACACCGACGACGGTTGACACCATGATGGTCGCAGCGATGCCGGCGACGATGATGGCAGCGCCGGCGGCACGGCCAGCGACGGCGCCGATACTGCTCAAGCCGACGACGATGACGGCGTCCTCGCGTCAGCGAAGAAGGTATTGGAAGAGTTCGACATGCGCGCGCGGCCGACGCGCGAGTGGCCCGCATGGTATTATTTGACACGGACCGTGCCCCCCCAGCACGCGCGCAAGGGCGTTCGAATAGTGTCGACATGCGGCGCGACAAGCCTGTCTAGCAACATGTAGCGAACCTGATTTTAATATCAAAAGCATGGTTTCCGCAATGATTCGCAAGGGCGACAGCGCAGACAGTTTTGAAAACTGGCGTAACCAAGCAACGCGCTCCTATATATATATATATATATATATATATATATATATACATGCGGCATTCGATCTTTTACATCCCTACGATACGCAAAATGTTCGAACAAATCCCACGCGCCCTCGCAACGACGCGCGCCCGTGCACTACGTTCACTTTGCGCGAAGGATTCTCGCGACAGCACGCGCGCGCCAAATTTCGAGATCGAACGCCCCGAACATATACTACAATTGCACGAATGGTAAAGCATGTCTTCGCAAGAAGAAGTCAAGCAAAAGAACTTGCGCTCGCGCTCTTGCAAATTCTTACGACAACCACCTGCGTGTTTTCAACATGTTCATGGCGCGCTATCGAGCGGGCCCTCCGCGCGCGCGCAAGTCGACATCGCCTGGGCGCCCTTGCGCGCGCGACGACGCGCGCGCGTGCGTTTCGTCGCATTTGTTGCAAGGTGCCTTTGGCAACTGATGATGTTTGATCAAGGGGCGCGCGTAGCGTTTGTTGCATATTAGAAGGAAGGGCACATTACTGGCTTAGCTGGGGCAAGTACGAACTCAAATGTCAATTGGACGACGGCGCAAAATCACATGTAAACGGCAATGCGAAAAAGGAGCGCCATTAAGACCGGAAGGGGGGGGCGGGGAAAGGTGGGTCCTATTATTTGTTGCTCGAACGGAATACTCAAGTTACGCAGAAAATGTGGCGCGATCTACGAAGTGCCATCACGCGGTGGAATCTAGGTGGTGAACCTATGTCGTGCAATACTTCGTTTGCAATATGTGTTGCGCACCCTGTGCGGCAAGCAACTCACTTATGGAACTCGCAGCTGTCAACTACACTGCCCGCGAAATCATCCCGCCCACCCACCCGCAACGTGTTTTGCACAACGCATGCGCCTGTGATTGCGATGAGTGCCCGGCGTTGGCTGATGCATCTCTGCGGCCGTGCTGGCCCGCGCATGCTGGCGCGCGCAGCGGCCGGCTAGTTTGGCGCGAGCAACGCGGCCGCGGTGGCGCTGGCCTCTAAGCACTTCCCAGCGGGCACTTCAAAGCGAATCGGCCATTTGGGCGGGCGCGGTACCATGGCAACGTCGGCAAAGGTAGACACGGCGATGATCGTAGCGACGCTGGTGGCGACGATGCCAACGGCGACAGCGCGGCCAGTGACGGCGCCGATGCTGATCGCGCCAGCGACGATGACGGCGTCGTCGCGTTGGCACTGGAGATTCCAGAAGGAGGAGGGCACGCGCGCGCGGCCGACTCGCGAGTGGCCAGCATGGCACTACTTGACACGGACCGCGCCCTCCAGCAAGCGCGGAAGGGCGTTCGAATGGTGTTGACGTGCCGAGCGAAAGGCCTGCCTGGCAGACTTTAAGGCGAAATGAGGCAAGGCTGATGGTTGTCTTGAGAATTCGCAAGAACGCGAACTAAGCTTCAAACTGACGTTGCAACGCCATGTGTTCATTCTTTGTTTTCGGGGCATTTCATTTTGACATCCCTCCGAAACCGAAGGTGTTTGAGGAATTTCGGCGCGCACGCGACGGCGCGCGCGCGTGCACTTCCAGCGCTTTTCTTAAGAACTGGCAAGGGTGCGAGCGCACGCTTGTTGGAAGACTCCTGCTGCAAAGCTGTATATGATTCCTTATTTCAAACTATTCAATGACACTCGGTCTTGAGATCCACAATGAACCGATTGGATGTTTGGAGGATTCCGGCATGCTCGCGCGACGACGCGCGCATGTGCACTTCATTATGTCTTTCACAAACGATTACTGAAACATCTTTGGATCGGGGTGGGGGGAATCGATACCGGCATGTCTGGGATCATACGAGTTCATATATCGAATGAACAAGGTGGTCAAAATCTTATGTGAATTGTACATCCCCTGGGGGGGCGGATAATCCCGGCGTCGGAGGGGTGGTAGATCCGAACTCCTTCTCAGAAGGATAATTTATGTGAAGCAATCGTGGTGGTGCAATCCACGTTGTGCAACTTAGTTTGTACAGTAAACGGCCCCCCCAAGACGCTTCAAAACTGCCTCAAAGACGCTCAGTTACGCCCCAATCAAATTCCCAAGACGCCCACAGGAGTCCCAAAAATAGTGACCAAAAAGCCCACATTACTTCAACCGTGGACTCCTCGCTTCTCTGGGGGGTCGGCGGACTGGGGTCAGCTTCTTGAATATGTGTGGTTGTGCAATGTATGTTGTGCAACATACTTGTGGTGCAATCTATGCTGCGCAATGACTGTTGTGAGCGATCAAAAGCAAGCCTCAAACGCGATTGTTCGCTTGCGCGCAATCTATGCGGCGTCACCCAGCGGCGGCGAAGGGCGGCGACGAGGCGGCGGTGGGGCGGGGACGGCCCGAACATAGCCGGCAAACTGCCCACACAGCGGCGGCGACGAGGCGGCGGCGGCCAAAACATAGCAGCCAGACCGCCCAGACGGCCAAGTTCGTTAGAGAAGAATAGAGAATCCATAAGTAAAAGCACGTATTGGGGAATGTAGTGCAACCTACGTCGTGGTGCAATATTTGTTGTGCAACATGTGGTGCGATATGTGATTGTGCAGTCGATGCGGTGCAATCCATGTTGTGCAATCTTTGTTCCGAACGATCTGAAAGCGCGCCGCACACGCGTTATGTTCGTGCGATAGACGTGGCGCAATCGAATGGCGACGGCCAGGCGGCGACTAGGCGACGACCAGACCGAAGACGCGGCCCAGACGACGGGCAGCGACTAGGCGGCGACGGCGACAACATAGCCGCCAGACCGAAGATGCGGCTCAGTTCCTGAGAGCAGAAGAAAAACCCTAAGTGCAAGTACTGGTTGGTGCATCCATGCGTAGCTATAGAGAAATAAATAAAGGGAGAGAGGGAGAGAGAGAGAGAGAGAGAGAGAGAAAGAACGATATGGAGAGAGAGAGAAAGGGAGAACGAGAGAACGAGAGAGAGAGAGAAAGGGAGGAAGAGCGGGCGAGAGAGAGGGAAAAAGGGAGACAGAGAGAGCGAGAGAGAGAGAGGCGGAGACACGAGAGGCACGAGTTAGAGGGGGATCAAAACAAGGAAAGAACAGAGACACAGCGAGAGAGAGACAGAGAGAGACATGGATAACAAAACGAGAGAGAGAGAGAGCAACAAAACAACCAACGAGAGAGGGAAGGGCGACGGCGCCTGTGGGGGGAGCAGGGGAGGGAGAGGAGAGACGAGAGACGGCGGCAGCGCACGGGGAAGCAGGGCGGGGGCGGGCGGGGCGTGGGCCGATGGCACGCGCACGCGGCCCGCCTTTGCTCAGTGCCTCAGTGCCGCAAGGTCGGGGAAACAGAGCGCGCGCCGCCGAGCGGGAGGCACAGAAAGGGCCTGCCCGGGCGTGGCCTTCCCGCGCGGGCCTTCGGCCCGCAGGTGGCCCGGGAGCCACGCAGGGGGCGCCCGGGTGCACCGCCGCCGAGCCAGGGGGCCCCTGACGGTGCAAAAAACGAGAACCTCCTCCCCGTCCTCCTCGTCCTCCTCGTCCTCCTCCTCCTTTTCCTCCTCCTTGTCCTCCTCCTTCTCCTACTCCTCCCCCTCCGGCTTCCTCCCTCCTCCCTCCCACCTCTTCCTCCCTTCTCTTCCCTCCTCCTCCTCCTCCTCCTCCTCATCCTCCTCCTCCTGCTCCTTCACCTCTCCCTCCCCCGCCTCCTCCCGCGACACCCTCCCGGCCTCGGCGCCCCCCCCCCAGGCCAGGAGGGCAGCTCCACGTGCAGCAAAGCCGTGGCCAGGCGAAAAACGGCAGCGCACGGGCCCTGCAGACATCCGCCGAGGAATGAAACACCGCCCCTACCATGGGTTCGAAGTGCGCGGCCTGTAAACATCGTAGGGGCGCCCAAAGACCAGGAAGCTGTCAGGACGCCGGGCGACGCGCGCGGCACGCAGGGATTACCCTGTCAGCCCACAGGAGGCTCAGCGCACAGCGCCTCGTAAACCAGGGTAAGGGCGTTTCTTGCGCCCTTGACCGATGTGACACCTTCCCCGGGGACAACTTTTCGTACGAGATCCGTTATAGATGGCCCAAGGGACCTGATAAAACAATAGACCCCGTGTGAGGCCGAACAACTGAATCGCAACGACGGGAGCGGAACCAACTCATACCGTCGCAGATTTGGGGTGTTGCACGGAATGCTCTCTGCGAAGGAACGGAAGAGCCAAAGGCCTCATAGATGGATCCGTGTAGGTGGGGTCGAAGGACCGTGCTGCATCGGCGATGCATCGGCGACGTCGGCGATGCATCACCGATGTCAGAATGGAAACATTCGGGCTCGCGGTGCATCGCCGACGCCGGCGTGGATAACATCGGGCCAACCATCGCACCGCATCGCCAATGCATCGGCGATGCGGCGCGATCTTCCGACCCCATCTATAGAGGGGCCCACGGGAACACAAACAATCCCACACAAAGAATACTGTTTCCCATGTCTCCGTATGTAATGGATTATCCTCTTCCCCTCCGCTTCCCGTGTGGGCGACGAAGCAAAGGCGTCTTGAGCGAGATGGCGTGGCGACCTTACGCGGCGACTCACGCGGGCAACCGACGCGGCATGCCAGATTGGAGGCGAAGGCGCCTGCGCGCGAGCTGACGCGGGCCGTCTGCGCGCCAATGCCGGCGGAGATGGGCCCGTCATCTCGCGACGCCCAGAACTGGGCTCATGGACATCCGTGGGCCTGTGCGTGCGCCGGTCCCCCCCCCTCCTGGATCGACTCCAGGGGCTCCCCACAACTCCGCGCTCTCCGCGCGGCGCGAGGGCGCGAAGCGCAGACAGCTTCGCGCCGCCTCCCGGGGGAGAAGAGGAGGACGAGGAAGGACGAGGAAGGACGAGGACGAGGAAGGACGAGGAGGACGAGGAGGACGAGGAAGGACGAGGAGGACGAGGAAGGACGAGGAAGGACGAGGAAGGACGAGGAGGAATCGGAGCCGAACCGCGCAGCGCGAATCACTCCGCGCCCTCGGAGGGCGCCCTCGCGGCCCCTGCTCGGGGAACCGCTCGCCGCCCGCCGCCGCCGCCGGACACCTCGAGGGCCGCAGAGCGAGTGCCCCTCGGGCGCCCTCCGAGGACCTCTCGAGGCCGCCCGATCGAGGGCGCCCGATCGAGGACCTCCCGAGGACCCCTCGAGGACCGATCGACGGCGCCCTCGAGGGCCTCTCGAGGAGGTCTTCGAGGGCGCCCTCGAGGGCGCCCTTGGACTCGGCCCCCGCCCGCGATGCCTCGAGGGGCGGAGCGTCCGTACCGCGGCGGCGGCGAGGCCGCCGCGGCGGGCGCCGCGCCCGCGGCGGGCCGCTGCGGCGACAGGACACCGCGGGGGCGCCGCGTGGGCGGCCGGGGCCCCGCCGCGGCGGCGGGCCCTCCTGGGGCGCGCCCGCGCGTGAGCCGCCTCACTCATCGGCCGGCGGCGCCTGCTTGACGAGGGGGAGGAGGGGAGGAGGAGGAGGAGGAGGAGGAGGAGGAGGAGGAGGAGGAGGAGGAGGAGGAGGAGGAGGAGGAGGAGGAGGAGGAGGAGGAGGAGGAGGAGGAGGAGGAGGGGGCAGAAGAAGAAGAAGAAGAGGACGAGCAATGGCAAAAGGAGGGGGGGCGCTTGTTCACCGCAGCGCGCACACCACGCTCCACGGCCCATCGTCTTCGTCGGTGCGTGCCGCCATGCGGGCGCGTAAGCACCCAGGTGCAGGAGAGATGGGCGAGGCTACACACAGAAGCACAAGAGGGCGCGGCAGGCAGGGCGGCAGGGCACGCTGGGGAAGCGGTCGATGCATTCCCGGCGGGGGAGCGACCAGGAACGCAACACACCACAGTCCCACGAGGCCCGCAGACGGCCCAGTGCAAGGCGAAGAAGCGAAGGGCCCGCCCAACACACCACCACCAGCCCTGGCGCGGGAGCGACCAGGAACGCAAACACCACCGTCCCAGGAGGACCGCAGACGGCCCTGCGCAAGGCGAAGAGGCGAAGGGCCTACCCAACGCACCACCAGCATTAGGTCGGGCATGTCCCTCTACAGGCGGCTTTCGGACGAAAAAATAAAAATACCCCCCAAATACTCCAAAGTGGTCAAACAATAACAAAAAGTCGTCCCCATCATAGTTTTGAATAGTTTTGAATCGTCCTCCTGCAGAGGGGCACGCCCGACTTCACACCAGCAGCGGCACCAGCACCGCGGAGCAGCACCACGGTGGGGGGGGCACGCAGGCAGGGGGAGCGCGCAGCCGCACCGGCGACGAAAAGCAACGGCAGAAAGGGGGGCACACGGGGGGCACGAACGCGGAGGGGGGGGGGAGGGACTCCGTTGGCCCTCGGCGGCGAAGGCCTTTTCGGGAGACCCCCGCGATGTGCCTCTTGGAGGTCCCAAGACGGGGGGAGGAGGAGGAGGAAGAGGAGGCGGAGGAGGAGGAGGAGGAGGAGGACAAGGCAGGAGGAGGAGGAGGAGGAAGAGGAAGAAGAAACGGCGGAGGAGGAGGAGGAGGAGGAGGAGGAGGAGAGGCGGCTGGGCGTTGCCCCACGGGGGGCAATGCCTGGGGAAAGGGGGGCGAGGAGGGGTGCACAGGCCATGCAGCGACCTCGAAATCGCAAAGGACCTGACCGCTCTGGGACTGTGTAGGTCCCTGGTCGTCCGAGACATCCTCAACTTACGCCCACGTGCCCAAACAGTGCGGCTATCCCTTCGTTCCCACGGACCTACCACACGATGTGGCCTGTTAAGGCTCCGAAGTTGCGCGCAGACAGCCCACCCAGGTAGTCCTTGCTGGCCTCAGCAGGCCCCACGAATAGTCCCGTCTGGCCTCACCAGCCCCCCCGAATAGCCCGGGGCGGTCTCAACACCTCAAGCCTGGGGCGCGGAGCGCTCCAGAGGCGCCGCCAGAGGCGTCGCCAAGTTGTTGAGACCGCGCTGGGCTACTCGGGTGGCCTGTTGAGGCAGGACCAGTGGGCCTGTGAAGGCCAGGCGGTGCACCCTAGGGAGGCTGCCTGCGCGCAGCCCGAAGCCCTTCCCAATATGGTCACCACAGCCCAAAGCCTTACCGATATGGTCACCATAAAATTTGGGCCCCCCGAACCTCCTCTCAAAATCGGTCCGCGGTCCCTTCCCGTGTTCCAAAAACGGCCCCCCAGAGACCGAACTATAACCAAATGCTCCCGATAAGAATCGCCTGGGGATAATAGAATTCGGGGGTCAGGCGGCAATAATCAACGATTTTCCCGGCGAGTGTGATGATGGTGATGGTGATGGTGATGGTGATGGTGATGCTGATGGTGATGCTGATGATTTTTTTTAATATATATATATATATATATATGTATATATAAACTTTTCCCCTGGTGGCGACCCCATTGTTTCTAAGTTCCGTCCAGGCCTTGTAGATGGCAGCGTGCCGCTTCGAATGGAGCCTCAGGCGTGCGTGAAACGCCTGCTCCACATCGGCACGGCTTCCAGTTCGCACAGATGAGTGTGCGTGAATAAAAACATCACAGCCGCTTGCATATCTGAGCATTGCAGAGGGAGAAGGGGTGAGGGAGGAGGTGAGGATCAATTCAGAGAACCATTCATCATCACCAGGAGCATGGAAATGACCAAGATGGGGTACACTGAGTGCACGGAGCCGCTGACAGACAGAGTAATGCTTAAGATCGTCATAATCAACAGCTGATGGGGCTTCACAGCCGAAGATACAGCGTCTGGGGATACAGTGGAATCTAGACGTCGTGCAGATACCCCGACACGCAATGCGTAGGACGGCAATCCCAAGATACGCCTGAGATTTCTTAGTAATAAAACGGATCCTCTGGATCAGGAGAGCAACGGTACCAGGAGAAATCCCAGGACGCCACGCCTGAAGACGCTTCAGTAAACCGGTTTCGGGGCAATCCTTGAGGGCGACGGGCAGGGAGAAGCGAAGCTTGCGATAAAAGTAGCGCTGAATACTCTTGCTGTTAATGTCCTGCGGCAACGACGCATAAATGTTGGCATAAATTGTTGCCGTCTGCTGGATAGCCATCAAGAAACCCCTCTTCTACCATCCCCTCCTCCCACCATCCCCTCCTCCCTCCCTCCCTCCCCTCCTCCCTCCCTCTCCCCCCTCCTCCCCTCCTCCTCCCAGATGATGATGATGATGATGATGATGATGATGATGATGATGATGATGATGATGATGCTGATGATCCTGGGCGCTCCTGTAGACTGACCTTGTAGATCTTAGCACAAGACTGACTCGAGAGATTTCGAGTCTCGTGGCCCGGCCGCATGTTCGTCACTTGGGAAAACTGAGCAAGTGAGAATCCCATAGCCCTGCCACACGCTCGTGATTGCGGAAGGTGGAATGGTGAGACCACCATGGCCATGCTCAGCCTTTTTGATGCTGTTGCTCGTCAACATAAGATGATAGCAACTTCGATTTGCGACTTCCCCCAGTGAATATCAAGTTCGGCCTCGGCGCCCCTCTCCATACTTTTAAATCCGATTGAGACAGATAATACAAATACAGGGGGTTAAATGGGGGACATTATTATCCGGGGCAGTGGGTGAAAACAAAGCTTCACCTTTTCGAACTCAGAGCCTCGAACACAGCCCCGTCTTGTTCGCTGGAACCAAAGCTGGGCCATCTCCGACACCCAGCCAGCTCCAACTCTCTGGAGCCCCCCATGCGAGGCCTCCCAGACGGGGTCGGAGCAGATGGGGCTCCACATCGAGCCGCACCGGCGACGCATCGACGATGCGGCGCGATCCTCCCACCCCATATCCCACGTGGGAGGTTGAGATCCACGCTGCCCATGCTGCGCCTCCTCTCCCTCCTGGGGAAGCCAAACGTTACTGAGGACACCACTCCCCGGACCTCTCCCGAGGGTGCGCTCGGACAAGAGCTCCGAGGCGAATTCCAACGGTGGCGACGAGGGCCTCCCGGGATGGCGAAGACGGGGAAAACGAGGGATGGGTAGCGATATGAGCTCCGAGGCGAATCCAACGGCGGCGACGAGGGCCTCCCGGGATGGCGAAGACGGGGAAAACGAGGGATGGGTGGCGATATGAGTTCCGAGGCGAATCCAACGGTGGCGACGAGGGCCTCCCAGGATGGCGAAGCCGGGGCAAACGAGGGATGGGTACTCCGGATTCCATAATAAAGTCGGGGGGGTCACATTTGGGGGGGGTCTGATTTGAGCTGTCTTGGAGGGTTCGGGGGGGTCTGGGCAAAGGGCCGCCCTTTCATGGATGGTCTGGGAGGGTCTAAAACTTCTCAACTGGGAGGGTTGAGACCCCTCCCTTTTATTACGAAATCTGGAGTAGCGATATGAGTCTAGACCCACGCTGGGCCTCCTCTCCCTCCGGCGGCGGCGCCGTGTCCTCCTCCGCCGGGGCGCCCTCGCCGCCGGCGCCCGCGGGCGCCTCCTCCGCGGGCTCGGGCGCGTCGGCCTCGGCCGCCTCGCCGCCCGCGTCCGCCTCCGCGGCGGCCTCGCCGCCCGCTCCGGCGTCCGCGGGGGCGTCTTTGGCCTCCTCGCATCGGGCCGGACGAAAGTTGAGGATGAAAAAACGACATTACCCTGGGTTACAAGTGCGTGGTCTGTAAGCCTCCTGGAAGCCCCCAAGGCCTGGAGCCGCCAGGACGCGGCACATCACGCAGGGTTTACCCTGTCAGCCCACAGGAGTTTCAGCGCACAGCGGCTCGTAAACCAGGGTAGGGGCGTTTTTCATGCCCTTGAGAAAGGGGGGGATAGCAAAAGGGGGTTTGAGAATCAGCTCGCGTGGCCGATGCGACGGCGGCGGCGGGGCCGAAACCAGCTGCATGCAGCAGATTTCGTACCCCCCCCTTTCCCAATCCCCCCCTTTCGTCCGGCCCGATCGTACGGCGTGTGTTGAAAAGATGGCGTGCAACCTCGATCTCCGAAAAGCCAGGGTCCCTCGGATCATACGAAAAAACATGACGGGAGGTTGTTGTGATTTTCGGCCTCTGGGGAGCCCTCGCCGGGCCCCACGATCGCAACACAAATTACTCGGGATGCAGAGCTGGCGCTGGGGAGTGGCTCGAGACCTTCGGGGATCGACGTAATGAAGCAATCGTGACGTCGGTGGCCTTGGAAGCACACTATTCCTGTGAGGCGATCCCCCCGCGAGGGCCCCTGCTGTAGTTTCTTCGGCGCGCTACCCCCAAGGTGGGGGATAGCGTGTAATAGGCGGGTTGGCGGCCCCACGTCGCACACTATCATTCCAACGGCATCCGTGACGTGCGCCCCGACCGCACGCACGGCGCAAAAGCAGGTTTCCAGGAGGGGGCCCAGACTTCTGAGGAGCCACGTACGTTGTGAACACATACGGCATGGGATGTCTGCGAACGCCTCTTTGGCCGGGGCCGGGACGATCTGTACACAGGCCTGGGGCATCCTGGGACCCAGGACCGGCCCTGACCAGGCACAGCGCTGGTGCACAGAGGCCTTTGGCGGAAACCGCCCCGACCCGGCTGGTCGCATTCTTCCGAACCGCCCACAGAACGCCCTGTGGCAGAGAAGAGGGGGGGATCAGAGCAGGAGGAAGAGGAAAAGGAGAAGGAGGAGGAGGAGGAGGAGGAGGAAGAGGACGAGAAGGAACAGGAGGAGGAAGAGGAGGAGTAGGGGGGGAGGAGGAGGAGGAGCAAGAGGAAAAGGAGGAGGAGCACGAGGAGGAAGAGGAGGAGGAGGCTCTGGAAACTCTGGCTGGCGACGAGGTGTGCCGAGAACGACGCACCAAGCCAAACACGACCATCAGAGTGAATAAGAGAGAAAGAGGGGTCGAACGCTTCGCGAACGGCTCGAGCGAAAATCGGCGCTGGCTTCTTGAAACCATTAGCTACCTTCTCGCCATAAGAACCTCGCCCCTGGATGAGTTCTTTCCGTTTGAAGTGCCCCAAAAAGCCCAGGGGCGGTCTTCCAAAACACGGTTTGGATATCAAGAGCGCTCTCGAGACACATCTGGCAGCGCATTCAGTACACCGAACAATGTGGGACGGGTGCGTTTCTGTGCGCCAAACTACTACTTCTTTCGAACCTGTCAATACACCACCAAACCGTTCAATATACCAAACCTGCGCGCCCAAAACCTGTCGGACGGGTGCGTTTATCGGGCTCCCCTAGGGTCCGCAAGACACGAAAAACACGCCAGGTCCCCACGCCGAGCGCGGCTATCTCCGCACCTCCCACACACCCATCGTCCCTGAAACGTCTGGACCCCGTGGCCCTCATCCTCACTTCAGATGAGACGGGGCCCGCGCGCGGGCCTTCCCTCATTCACTTGTTGGGCGTCTTTCCACCCTCATGTTTGACACAACCTCAAGATGCGCAATACGCATCGCACCGTCAGTGGAGCTGCCGACTCCCTGATCTTCCCTAGATTCTCGTGCACCCGCTGTCGGGGATGGCTGCAGGCGCCCACCCTGGCAGAATGATCCGCAGCTCTGTTCCCCGACCAATGCGACAAGATGATGCCTTGCTCAACGGCGTATGTCCTCGTCATGTGCGAGTGGATCCAAACGACCCAAATATCCGAGCCAAGATCATGCACCACATCCCGGAAACGCGTCCACAGCTCCATGTACTGATGACTGGAGCCGCACCCGTAGGGATAGCCTTGCAGCCAAACATCACGTAAGTCCATTTAGTCCGTCACGATGGTGATCTGCCCTTCAGGCTTGTGCCTCAGCGCCGTGGCCACTGCCCATATCTAACCTGCTTCAGAAGGCTGCCACGGGTAAGGCGCTGTTCCCGATGCCGCAGCAAACGTAGCTCTAGCCTCATCGATCATCACAAAGGCCCAGCCTGCTCTCGCTCGGACCTCACAGCGAAGAAAAATGAGATCATTTTTTTTATTCCGGCCGGTAACGCTCGTTACCCGGGGGGGGGGGGGGGGGGTCGTGCCCCCCGGGTAACGGTAACGCTTGGGCTGGGCGGGGTATGGCGAAGCAGGGGCGCTCTGCGATCGCCATAGTATGCGCGCGAGCAGCACTCTCTGCCTGAGAGCACCACAGTGGCTTGCGATTCGAGTACTAGCGCAAAGCCCGCCGCGTGGTCCCGGCACCAGCATGTTGGAGGGGAAGACCGAGACCCCCCCCGCGTACGAGCGTTACCGTTACGGGGGGGGGGGGGGGGAGAGGCCCGGGTAACGAGCGTTACCCCCCAGAGGATAAAAAAACAATCTCGATACAACTGCCGCCCGTGCAAACCACTCAGCTCATCGAGCCACTGACCGTGCACACACGCCACTTGATGATGCCCTCCGTGGTCGGCAATGGTGAATCGACCGTTGGATCTGGCATCTGACCCTTGCACGCCATCAAGGTGATAGGATGGTCGTCGTGCCCAGGTTCTTCGCGCAACAGGCTGCGTTCCTCGCCTGTCCAGCTGTGCCGTTCTGAAGCGTGCCAATCACATCTGAATCTCCTATGCGCGCCCGTCCCAGGCTCCACTCCACATATCGCACACAAAAGGGCATCCCACTGCTCCCACTTGGCGTAGCCGCGCCTGACGATGAAAACCACCAGAAAGCCTGGTCCTCATCAAGCCAGCTCATTTGGTAGTCTTCTTGACGATGCAGAGCACTGATGAGGTCCTTGGCTGGTTGATGCAAAGGTGGTCCAGTGAGACCCTCCACGCCACGACCCTGCAGCAGGAGCCGTTGCGTAGATTGGTTGATGATCTTCTTGAGCGTGGCGATACCCGAGCCCTGTAGATCAAGCATAGCCCCTCGTTCGGTGACCCAGCGATCCCAAGACATGGCAATCCAGTGCAATCTCTTCAGCGACATAATCACGGCTCCAGCAGGTCCTTGAACTCCTTGCCAGGACTTGAGTTGGTTCTGCCCATGCATGAACTCTAAGGCGATCTCCTATGTCGTACCTGTGTACCCTACAGAGCCCGTAGCCAGTAAGCCAGTGGCCACTCGTCCGCGACGAAAGTCGGATCAGCTCTTCGACACTGCGAGAGCTGAAGCTCCATCGTCCTGCACCGACCTCTGGCCGTACCAAAAAGCGCATGCCAGCCCTCCACTCTGGCTTGCCCCATCCTGGCGGGCGTTGGTTGGCTTTCGGGGTGAGCTCCCCTACCCTTTGTGCTGCATCGCCAGCTGCATGTCGTAGACTTCTAAGTGGGGGGGGAGTGCAACCGAACTAGTGAGGCGCGCCCCGGCGCGACCTCAATGAAGAGGCCCCAGGACACACAAATAAATACACACAAATAAAAAGATTCGCAATATTTTCTCATATGTTCTGGGTTTCTGTCTTCCCCGCCGCTTCCCATATTTTCCCATAGTTTGTGGGGAATCGAAGATTAATTGTGTCTGTGTGTGTGTTTTTCCTCTCCTGACTCAACAACGAAGCATGAAAGGGAATGACGCACGAGGGCCACGTGGCGCGGCGGTTCGCGCAGACCGCCAGCACCGCTGGCGCCCGCGCAGTCCGCCCCGCTCGCTTCCGTCGCTCAGCGGGGGGGCAAGGTGATCCTTGCCCCACTCCCCGAGGGAACCCATCGCAGCGACGACCTCGCTCGATCTCTCTCTCTCTCTCTCTCTTTCCCTATACATATATATGTATATCCTCCTCTCTCGATTTAGATGAAAAGAGAAGGCTCCTCCTCCTCCTCCTCGTCGAGGGGGTCGACGCTGCTGGGTCCCCCGCAAGGGCATGGAAAATCGGCTGCGCGCGAAAGCGGCCCTGGGCAAGGGTGACCCTGTGCGTGCGGCTTCTTGGGGCAACGGGGGGACCAAACCCAAGCGCGCAAACCGGGGGTGGGCCTGGGCAAGGTCCGGAGGAGGGCTGATTCAGAGAACGACGGCCCTCCCGCCTGGCCCACATCCGCTGAGAATAGGTGCCAAGACCCCCCCCTCGAATCCATCGTGACTCGCTTCTCGAAGCGGATTCAGCCGTGGCGACGAGAATTGAGCAGGGACCGACCGTCCCGGCGCTCATTTAGGCCT